TGTTTTGGACGCGCCTCGCTTGACAGCAATCATTATCTCGTCTGCCTGACACGAGGGCTGATGCGCAGCTGACCAACGCCGACCGGAGCTGACCGGAACCCACCATGACCGCCGTCAGAAGAAACTTGCGATACATGAGACTTGATGCAATGCATACGTCTGACGCTAAACCCAGCCGAATTCCGGTCTTCAACCTGGGACGCTCTGAAGCACCAAGCGGCGATACCTCGGGTACATGCATTCGGTCAACCCTGCAACGCCTGCCAAACCTGCATGGTGCTCCTCGGATCCGTCCCCAGAAGTTCCTGTGCACCTTTCCCTTGCCCGGATCAACCAAGCCTGCGCTCTGGACTCCTGTTCCTCCGCACACGCGAATGGACGAATCGCGACGCAGCTTGCAGCCGACAGCAACCCACGATACTGCATGGTTGGCACCCACTAGACTATAACCTTCGCTCGCCAGATGCTTGAGTCCTCCGTAGGGCCGAGGGCTGAGATCTTCTTACCCAGCATCCAGCGTAGGACAGGGCATAGCGTCAGTGCCATCACCTTCCTTTGAATCTTTCCGCCGAGGGCCATCGTTGTCACCGATGCACTTAGCTCAATTCGCAGCCCAAATGATCGAGGCGAAGGACCGCCTTTCGTCCACCTTGGATACGGCCAGGTCTTTGACATTCACCTGGGGGCCGTGATCGGTCAACCGCGAACATGCCGAGCGCCGGCACGCCGACTTGTGCACTGTCGTTCGCCATGCCCTAATAATGAAGGGGGTGGCCCTCACTGCCCTCGTGTGGATCACGTAAGCAGCCCCCTTAGTATTTAATACCTCCAGCCGTACTTCGAGCGGGGCTGCCCTGCAACCTGTGGCAGGGACATCCGTCGCCAAACGTGCTTCGGTTGCTCAAGACCAAGTGTCTCTTGCGACGTGTCAGGTCTCTGGGCGAGCAAATGATTGGTCCCCCTCCAGGGAGGCAACAGCCATAGCTCCAGTCTACATCCCGCCTGTTACCGGCCCCAGGTCTGAACACATGCTTATACGAGCTCCGCATCTACTCTTGCCAACAAGTGCAAGGACCACAGGGGCTCGACCGGCCGACTGTCGGCCACGAATGAGGTGCCACATCTACATTGGGGCTGAGGGGTGCGGCAAGGCGTCGATCCGAGGGAGGCTGGCTGGTTGGTGGGCCTGGTTGGCCCAGAGTGGGTCGACGTGGTCACATGCGCGAAAGCTAGTGGGTCACCATACCGCTGCATCTACCCGTTGCAAGTTCTGGATACGGAATGCGCAAAATCAGCATCACATCGGCGATGTGCAGCTTGGGGTTGGGTGTCCGTCCATTCGGGTTATCGCAAATGACTGGCAATGTGATATACCCGATAGGCTGGAGGGCGCGGGCCTAAACTGCCAGATACTGAGAAGCATCGGACGAGGACGTCTGATCTATGGCTCCCGTTCGGGTGCTTCATGCATCACAACACAAGCATTCGCAGCCGCAGCAAATTCCAGCAACCCCCCGCGTCGCCCATTGTCGTGTCTCTCATCTTCGGATTGTGCGCCGCTTCGCCCGAAGCCGCAAGAGCGGGGCCTCTGTAGCCGCATTCGCGATCTCAGGCCCGCCCGCAGCTCAACTGTGAGGCCGCCTTGTTGTCAGTCAGACATCTTCAGCCCTCTCCTTCAACCCTCACCTTGCACCCTCAAGCCACCAGCTGCTCGAGCACAATGAACTCCCATGGACAGCGGCCGCTTCAAGCCGGACCTGTAACGGACAACATCCTCCGCATCACGCTCAGCTGACAACGCTGGAGATTGTACCGCTCGCCATCACGCTTGACTTCACGTCCAATTGCCCTCCCTCATCGCAAAGTACGCGGCTTTTGCAGCAGCCCCCAATTCGCGTCAGAGCACCGCAAGGTCTGCCCACTGTTGCGACAAAAGCCACTCGACTTGGAATGCCTGCGCGTCTTTTTGCAGACGTCCACCACCCCTTTACTCTCAGATCAAGGTGGTCAAGTGTCAATGCCCCGATGTCTGTCGCGCCCAAGCTCAGCAGACCGCGCTGGCGCGTTGGTTACTCAGGAGTGCAGGAATGCGCGAGCTGAGCCGAACAAGCATGCTCGTCCTGGATATGCCCTTAGCCAATCCGTCTTCCCTCGCTCAAAAAGCCTCTTTTTCGCCATCTTGTCTGTCAGACATGACCTGGAAGCGCGAGCACTACTATTTATTCATTACAGATTAATTAAGTTGAGAAGCTCGCCATTGCGAGTTCGCGTTCCGTCGCACTTCGCATCCGACTACACCACGACACGCAGCCTGCATACTCGCGTATTCTCGAGGTGACAGCCCTTGTTTCACAGGCACCAGCAGCCGCACGCACGGCGCCCAAAGAGGGTGACTAACTCCGGCAGCGGCGTGCACGCTCACATTCCGCGATACCCTGTCCGGCGCGGGACGCCAGGAGGCAGCCAGGACCGAGCCAGGAGCTCCGGTGCTGCGCCCGGCATTCACACTGGGTTCGCCGCGCCATGCCCACTCCGAGCGATGGCATCATCGCCTCACCGTGATTAAGCTCAAAACGCGATCGAGCTGCCTGACACCCCTCCTTTCGGCTGTTACGAGACACATGCTCGCCACGCTCCGACTGAATCAAACTCCGACACACCGGTCCCACGGTCTGCCCCACTTGGCGTGCGGCGATGTGGGGGCACCGACAGTGCGGCGTTGCGGCGAAGCGGCGAAGTCAAGTGGAGCACTAGGGTAAGCCACCTGCGCCGCACCCTAGCACTGTTCCGGTCAGTCGTCATCGATGCGGACTAGCGACAGCCCCATGCATGGGTGAGTGGAGCGCCGAAGAGGGCTAGGTGGTCAGGCTCGGTGGTGCTTGGCGTGCTCGTCAGTCACATTTGGCCCTAACTGACGGCGGCGGGCAAGCTGGGCCGAGCGGCGCGGCGCGAAGGGGAGGGCCGCGCGGATCAGGCGTGTAGGGCGCAAGGGCCGAGGACGGCACATGGAATGGATCTCGGACAGTGAACCCACTATTCGTCCCTCTCTCCTAGCCCTACGCCCGATGGTAAGCAGGCATGCATGCATCGCCGACCTCGGTGCGTTCGGGGTTGCAATGCAGCACATTCCGCGCCGTTACGGACCTTTGGGTGAGCGTACGTGCATGCTGCGCCGCCCCGGCGTCCGTAGTGGGCATGCCGTTGTGCTGGCATTTTTTAGCTGGCGCACCCACATGACCGTGCACGCACAACAGGAGAGACTGCGCTGTACATGCGCTCCTACATGCTGTGCTGCAGGGCTGAGTGGAGATACGGAGATCCGGCGGTGCTTGTGGAACCCTCGAGAGGCTTGTGATGAGGAGCATGAGTGCCGATCTCGTGCAATTTCAAGTCCGAATCCGCCTGATCGCCTGGCGCAATGCACACCGCATCATGTGGTCCCAGGGGGAGGGGATAGGGTACGGACTGGGGGCGGCGTTCGGGGTGGATCACGGCGAGGGGGACTGATCGGACTGACGTACTGACGCAAGGTGACGATAATTAATTCTCGGTCAATCGCCTGGGCCAGACCACCTTCCGAGCTGCGCTCCATTAAGAAGACGATTAACTGACTGCGGCGGAGTAGAAAGGCAGCAGACCGAGCTGATCGTCCTTGTTCGGTTCACTTGTTTCGGCGCATGGACCCTCCGGCCCCATCCCCGACAGCCGCGGCTATCGCGTCGGCCCAATCCAGAACGGCCCAAGGGATTCCAAGCTTTCCTGCCAAGCGCCTACTCTGACGGGCCGAGAGTCAGGGGCCCTTAACATCAACGTTGAGCGAAGGGAGCGTCGAGCTCACTTCGCCGAACGAAGACCACGACCCTACTGCACTCTTCTGTACCTCAGGTCGTATTTCTCGACTGGCCGTCCTCGGTCAGTCCACAGCCTCGCTGGTGCTCGGCATATGCGAACCCGATAGCGGATCGAAGCTCTATCCCCGGTCTCAAATGGGCAGCTGTAAGCAGCTTCGGACAAAAGGAAGGCAGGGATTCTGACTCCCGACGAAAGGGGTGCGAGATGTCCCCATGTCTTCTAGTTCTGGTCCTTCGGCGTCGGAATTGGACTTGTTGGAGTTCTGTCGACTGGTCACGCGCATGATCATGATGCTGACTTCCGGCATGCAGTAAGTGATACTAGTGATGCTGGTGACGCTGACTCCGTCTAGTCCGCATGCCTCTCAACCCATGTGACGTTTCGGCGCAGCCTCAAATTCGGCAGGGACGAACGCCCGACCCCCGACGCGACCTCGTTACTTCGGACCAGGAAGGGAGCGCTCTCCTGGCGTCGCTCCTCTTCTCGCTGCCGAAGAGATGTGCAAGGTTATTCATGCCGCCTCTCGCCTACGATCGAAGCGAATGCCCGACGATACACGCCTTACTCTGCTCCGAATGCAGGGTATGTTACGCCGCCCTGCCGACCAGAACTGTACTGATTGCCACCGAGCCCGCCTGTCGCCCATTCGCTATACCCGCCTGTCTTTAGACAAGCGCACGGTCCCAACCCCCCACTGCACACTTACAATACACTGCCTCTCAGAGTGGTTCACTTCTTACCCCTCCGTACTCTAAGCGAGGTGTGACAGCCAAATATAGCCGGCTTGCTTCCTCCGAGTGCACATCCCATTCACACTAGCAGACGTGGTTCATCCGACATGTCCGCCGCGCAGCCGTCGGTCTCCACTACCTTCCGACATTTCCACAGCACCCCCTTTGTGCCTCGGAGACACTTCATGCACCCCTCGCCGATGTCTAGTGTGCATCGTGAGGTCCCACTGCCACTCCAGCAGCGACAGGGCACAGGGCCTCGCACCTCGCTTAGCGAGTTCAGGCCCTCGTCGCCACACACGGCGTGCACCTGAAACCTGCCCTCGCTTAGCCGACCCCCGTCTCCTCGCCCCCGATGTGATGCGGCTGTGTGGCACTGCATGGTCTCCCGTTGCACCTCGGTGCTCCTCTGTGGCGATGGCACGCTACCAAACCACATCATCATCTCAAAACAATTACAATACAGCCAACGCCTCTTCGGGCTCTTTGGACGGTTCCGCATTTGATTTCCGTTACGAATCGGAACATGAGGGCGGCCCAGCCCATGATCCCGTACGGATGATTCGCGAGACAGGAGACCGCTACCATAAGAGTGCACGAGGTTTATGCACCAAACCACCCGCTGGATCCGAAGATTCAACTGCATTGCGACTTCGGATGGTGGGCCAGGCACTGGTCCGAAGTGCATTCCATCGGTTCTCCGGCTCATCGGCTCTTGCGAACAGGCATGGATCGACACTCGCAGGACCGAGTCCTCGGAGTACCGCGTTACGGCGTCCGAATAGATCGGCGAGGCACGAGGACGACTCCGAGCTTCGTAAGACGATGTCAGGTGCCGTGTCAGCAACACCTCAGCGGAGTGGCACCAACTCAAGTGGCACCGCTGGCATTGTCTCAAACTCGGCGGGCAGCGCGGTATGCCGTGCCGCACTGGGCCGATACGTTCCTTCCAGAAACGGCGCTGCCACCTTCAACCCCATCTCATCGACCGATGGGTTCGGCTGGCTGTCTTACTGGAACCGGGAGGTCATGAACGCCGCGGCTGTGGTGTATTCTGAATCCGACTCACGCCAATTGCCGGTCTACGGCTGTGATGGCTACGCCGGCTCGGCGCGACTCGTAAGCTCGGCGGCCAGACCGGGCGTTAGACTGCTGGAATCGCGGCTCCCAGCGCGTCAGGCCGTTCTGGATCAGCGGCGGAGAAACACCCGCTTGACCCAGCGGGCCAAAGCGGTGCACGCGGAGAGATCTCTTCTACCCGATTTCCCGTTAGAACCCTAGGTGGAACGCTTAGCGCTGAAATCACTGCAACATTCGGGAAGTGCCGCGAAATAGTCACACGGCCCTCGGCTCTCAGCACATTGCCATTTGTCGCTAGTGCTTGCAGACTACCAAAACTCGCGTAAATGTCGTTTGTTGAGCTTCATCAGTGTGCTGCTCATTATTCCCAAATACTTAGCGCGCAACTACGGCGCCAAAGTGCAGATCAGTAGATCAACTCGGCAGCCTGCTGCCACTAGTAATGTAAGTCTCATGCCGCACAGCGGGTACTAGCGATGTCGCAGTGGTTCCGTGTACATGGGCAGCACAGCCGCGCCTCCGCCGCTAGGACATCCCGCGTCGAAGGGGGAGGCGAGCTCCTGCCCAGTATTCCACGACGACTCTCGAACAACTCTCGACGGACGACGTGTGCCACTGCGCATCTCTCAGCCAATCGTAACGTTGCCACTATCAGAGTTTAGCAGAAATCTCAAATCGCACACCTTCTCCCTGGTTGTACGCCGCTCTGAGTGGGGGCAATTGGCCGCATCGGTGACCTGAAGGTCCTGATCGAGATGCCACAGCCGGCGGACTGTGGTCAGCCAGATCTCGGCCTGAGGGTGTGGCTTGCCGAGTCCGCTTGTCGCCGGCTATCGCAGGTCCGTGTGAGTGCCCCAACTTGATCGCCGGTGTCCCATGCGGCATGCGATGCCCGTGGACTTCGAGGGCTTCGAGGACTTCGAGGGCTTCGAGGACTTCGAGAACCTCAGCAACAGGGTAACATCGGAATCTCCGATTCGGAGCACATAGCGGACTTGCGACGCTCGCAGTTCACAAGACAGTCTCCCTTAGATGGTTTTCTCGGCGGCCGCGAGTTGCCCACGGCATACCGTAGAGCGGGCAGCTCGCCGTGCGTACTACCTCCTGCTTGCGGTATGTGACTGCGCACAGGCCATTAACGACAGCGCCCCCTCGATTAATAATGACGTCGAAGGCGCAGGCGGCGGACACTGCTCGATCTGGTCGCTGGTCGCCGCATCATCGCCGCCAGGTCCGTCAGGATAGTGTGGCGCTGCGACAACTGTCAGGCAGCTCCGATGTTTCACTGTCCCTGCCTTCTGGTCACCTCCCCAGATCGCAACAGGGCTCATCCCTGTCCCCCACAGCAATCGCGACCGTTATGGTCCGCACTTCGACTTTTCTGGACCGTTCGGGGCACTCGCCGCTCGGTATGCGGAGCTTACATGCCGCTGGAATTGACGGCCCCGCTTTTCGAGGGCTTCTCTGGTTTCGCCGGCTGCGAGACCGGCGAGGCGAAGGGAGTGGCACAATAGTGCTGACTATTCTGCTGTCCGCACCGCCCCAGCTCTAACTGCAGTTACCTTGTCACTTTGTCACTGATCTCTAATCGCAGGTACTTCGTGGATATCAGCGCTTATTAAAGCTAATTAATGCCAGAACACTCCATGATGCATGGCCTTCTCTGACGCAATCAAGCGGCATGAGCGGCCGTGACGGCAGAGACAACACCCCTTCTACTTCGCAAACTGTAGGAGTCCTGTACTGACACTAAGCCGAAGGTGAAAGATCTGCGCACGAGTTCCAATACTGTATACTAGCGATACATCTCACGAAGAAGCGGCACTAACTCTGAGGTTGATCTTGGTTACATTGGGAGCCTACAGGTATCGACCGAGTTGAGCGCACTTGTGGTCGACCGCGGACGAGACCCTTCCTCAGCATGATCTTTCGAACTTCATGCCGCAGACTTGCCTCAACTTCTGGACTAACGCAGCTCTGATTTACCCACTGTCAGGGCGATTGGGACGCGCCGACTTCAGGTTCTACGATGGTCAAGGGGTGGTGACACTGCTAGGCCAAGCCTTACACCGAGACAGCGTCGCCCCAACCTGGCGTCCTTCCACCTCGGTCTTTGTAGGCTCTGCCTGCCTTCTCTTTCAAATGAACACGCTGTGCGGAAGCTTGGTCAACCTTGGCTGATAGGTGGGAGGCTCCTCACCCCTCAGTCCTTATGGCCATCGACGTCCCGATGTAGAGGACTTCGCGGTTGAGGCTCAAGGGTCGTTGCGAGAGGCGCAGAGCGCTGCCTCGAGCTGCTATCTCGCTTGATCGGTGGCACGCAGCACCAAGAACTGCGCGTCCTCGCTCCTAATGTGATATAAGGGTGTTGCAGTCGTTCGCATCTGAGACTATGCAGTATGACCGGGTCCACACCTTCATATAAAGCCCGGGAAGACGTGAACAATGCCAGTTCATTTGAAAGCCTACGTAAGAATACAGATCACGCCTCGTCTGGGGCAAATCTAAGGCATACATCATGAAATGTTGAACGGAGGGCCACACGTCGAGAGCGGAGGTTGCCCGTGGTCCATCTTCTCTCTTCAAAGCGATAGGTATACATAGGGTCTCGATTGAGACCTGTGCAAGACGCTCAACGCGACGCAGCTGAAAGCCATTCTCGTGTGTGTGAGATGATCCTTTAGATTTTGGCACGCTTGTCCACGTTCCCATGTCCGATGGGGGCCGACTATGCTGTCGACTGACTCCCAGACCGAAGTCCGCTTAGCTCTTTGAGACACCGAATCCTGCACCATTTTGAGGCCAGATCGGCTTTCGTTTCACTACTACGTTCGAAGAATCTGAAGGCTGTCTGTGCCTATGCCATCAGGAGGTAAGCGATAGACAGGCGATGATATTTATCCCTCTTGGTTCGGTCAGTCGCGAGCGTCAGTTACAGTTAGGCGCAGCGAGCTACCAACCTTGCTTGCTCCAGTGATGCAGCTGCACCATCATGGTATTTACAACATACACCTGAGCTGTGATTCTTCTTCCTCCACGTTGGGATGTGACAATGCTAACTGCTACGAACTAATGAGCGTCGAGGCCGACCCAGGAGCCCTCGAGACCAGAGCTGGCGCTGCTCTGCGTCGTGCCGGCGGTGTGGATGGAGGAGACGAGGTCCTCGCCCTCGTGGTCCGACGAAGACGCCGAACCCGAGGTCGGGATATGGGCCGTCTTCGGGGGCGGCGCGGGAGCGGGGCCGGTCTCGCTTGGGAGCTGAACAACGTTCATGACACGCGGCAGCGCCGAGGACGGGAGGAGAGCAAGCGTCTGCGGCAGCCACGACCGCTGGCCCAAGTAGTAGGTATCGCCATAGGACGACTTGAGCGCGCGGAGGAAGCGGCTCTCGAACATCGACCAGTCGCGCGAGGAAGCACCCAGACCCAGGGTGTAGAGCACAGACCGCGAGATGCCGCTGAACGTGCCAAAGAAGAGGTCACGGAAGACCGAGACGGCGGCGGTTGCACTCGTCATGCTCTCGTGCAGGCGCTGACGAGCCTGCTCGCGGCGGCTGAGTGCTCGGCCCTCAGTGATGATGGCCGGGAGGGAGGGGAGGGTGATGTTGCCGACGTAGACAGAGATGGCGCGGGCGCCGGACGCAGCGGTGAGGTTCGTCGCGAGCAGCTTGTGGTTGTGCGCCAGGACTTGACTGCCGAAGGAGTCGGGATTGGCCAGACGCGAGGAAGACGGGTAGACAGTGATGAACCGCGGGGTATGTCCATTGGCGTCCGGCGACATGAGCGTGGGGAGCGCAGGCAGCGCGCTCGGTTGACTAGGCGGCGCCGGGTTCAGGGGGTACAGGCTGATGAACGCGTGAATGCGCGGGACGAGCGCCTGCTTTGAGCTGTAAGGGTCACCGGTCGTCTGGGGGCCCTTGTTCTTAGTAGCAGGGGCAGGGAACCGGAGCGTCAAGGTGGCCAGCAGGCTGCGGTGGAAGGGAGGGAAGGTTGTCGAGTCGTCGGTGTCGTAAATGAGAACACGGAGGGCTCCCTTCTCCTGGAGTCCGGACAGACGGCGTTCGAGCGCCTCAGCCTCCTTCACCAGCGGAACAGCGACGATGACAACGTAGCCGGCCTTGAGCAAGGACGCAGTCAGCGGCACAAGGATGGGAGGCGTTGGCGAAGGAGCAAGAATGACTGTCTGTCAGCTTGTCGAAGTACTAGAAGTCTTGCGCCCAGCTTAAGGAGTGTGTGACGAAAAGGACACCAGCTGGACACTGAGCTTTTGATTAGACGTACCGATAGCCTCCTTGAGCATGCCGTTCTCGACAACACCTCGGTCTCCAAACTTCCGCCGCATTCTCCACTCCTGACCGACGTTCGCAAACGGTCCGCAGCCAGTGGCCAGACCAACATAGCCAATACCGGCCGTCACGGCGATAGCGACACCACCTCCGACCATGTAGGGGTGACGGCGGGCAACAGCACCGGCGCGGTCGCAAGCCTTCGACAGAGCAGACGGCTCGGGCGGCGGCGGGGTGAGGACGACAGGCTCCTCCTTGCCAAACGGCGGGAAGGGGATCGAGATCGACGGCGGACCGTGCATGTTAAGCGTGTCGACTGTGGGGGATATTAGGGACGTTCTCATGTTCTGCTGTGCGTCGATACTCACTGAGCTCGTTCCCGACTCGCTCGACGGTCTCGAGCATCTTGCCTGGCAGGTCGTGCAGGTTAGGAGGGACCTGGGACTCGATCCACTCCTCGAGCTGGTCGAGCATCGCGCTCAGATCAATGGGCATGGCGTCTTATCACTGTTGTTCTGACTGCGAGCGAGGCGTGACTGTTAAAGTTTGGGGATGGGGATTGGGAACTAGCGAGCGGCGGAGGGTCGGTGCTCTCTGCGAACAAAGAAACGAGTGGGCAGGGAGTCGCAGCTGCTACGATCCTGCTGTCGCGGTCGACTTGACGGTGTCTTCCTTTGCTGTGGGCTGCTTGGTCTCGAGATATATGGAAGCGAACAAGACGATAGGATACGAGTACGCGATGCCGAGGTGGACACGAAGCGCAAGCGTAAGCCGTCCTTTGCAGCGTAGGCGTGAGACTCGACGAGGTCACGAGATGTCCAACAATCTTGCCGTCATTGGTGCGAAGCGTCCCTCTCCTAGCTGGGTGGCAAATCAAAGCCGGCTCAAACTGATAAGCGTCAGGGACAATCGGCACATGACCATCCGGTCTGACCGACTTGACACGTCATAAACCACGTGAGCTGATCTGCTCGATCGTCCTGAACGGGATGAAACATGACTCTCGTGACGTCACCGACATGGGTCTCGTCTTGCTGCACCTGAGAAGAGGCACCATACGTACGTCAGACCGCAACCGCGCAACGGTGGCATGCACGCTGCAACACGTCCTTTTTTATCTTCGCGTAGCCCTTCATACACATCTCTACTTCCCCCCGGAGCACATCCTTTGCATATCTACACTATGTCCTCATACTCCTCCCAGAACAACATCAAGGACGACCTCGACGAGCAGCGCAATGAATTCAAGCAGCGCGTGAACGCCAGGCTTGAGGAGGATGCCAAGAAGGATCCCAACCCGTGAGTACTGGCAACGAGCCATCGACGCGTCCAGCACCGTCCAGGACAGCCATCATTCTGAGCCACCTGCTCGCTGCCGTTTGGGAGCATCACATTACATTGGCGTAATGCAGATCTTTGGGTGTGGCGTGTGGCGCTGCTGCTGGGCTGACGGACTCCAATTCGGGGCGTCGATCGCGCGACCTCCAATCATGGCTAACCCACCGCAGTGCGTCGCTCTCGGCCAACCCTAAGAAGAAGGTAGACGTTGACCGACCGAACGTCGACCCCCCGCTCAAGAATGTGTCCATGAGCAAGTTGTGAGTTTACTCAGTTGAACGATCTTTTGAACCTCAACTGACCTCACAGCCTGAACTACCTCGTCGGTGGCCTTATTCTTCTCGTCATCTTCTACATTTGGCGCGTCACGGTCTGGGCCCACAATGCCGGAGGCTACTGGAACCTCATGACTGGCCGCCGCCCCACTGCTGAGGAGAGCCTGGCCAAGTTTGCCAAGACTGCGGCCAACTCGCAGTCGTCTGTTTCGTCTGCCGCCTCGTCTGCTGCGTCGTCGGCGACCCGTGGTTCCGGAGCGAAGACCACGACCGTCAAGGTCAAGAAGGCTGGCTCCAACAACCCCCATCACGAGGTATGTTACAAGTTTGCTGCGCATGTCCCTTGCTTACCGTACAGGACGTTCCCGACAAGAAGGATGTCGAGACGATGGTCTGGGAGCTTGCTCAGGCTCTTGGTGTTAAGCCTGCCGACCTCTCTAATGCCATCCGTCCCCTCATCGACCCTACTGTTGACGATGCTCAGGCTGCTGTCCGTGCTGCCAAGTCGGAGGAGCCTGCTGCCACCACTGCTGAGAAGAACAACAACGACCCCGGCTTCATTGACATCGTCGAGGCTTTCATCGAGTAAAACCGACATTCGGACCTTCACTGCTTTCCGGCGCCCAGCAACGAGATATCTTGGAACGATGTAGAGACTCACACAACAGAAGTGAAGAACACGGACATGAATAGCGTACAACACAGACTACCGAGACCAGCTGACATCCCTCCCTGGGAACTTCTACTGACGCCGCGCACCCCACCGATCAATTCACGTCCACCAGGTCACCAGGTTCCAGGTCCATCTCAGAAATCTCGGTTTCGGGATCGAAAGACTCGCCGTCAAAGTGAAGTCTCATGTTGTCGGCACGAGCGCCAGTGATGCCGTACTTGTTGCAGTAGTGGCGACAAATACTGCCAGCCGTCGTCGACAGCCTGACCTGGAGGCGCAGATTGCCTTCCTCGCCGCGCACGGTGAATTTGATCTTCTCGACCGTGTCTTCCGTGGGAGGCTCAACCAGAGGTGCAGTTCCATCGTCGTCGCTCGCTGGGACCGGCGCTGGCGACCCTGCCTCTCCATCGTCTGCATCTGGCGCGGGAGACATCTCCGCGGCAATGCGCTCCCTCCGCTTCCGCTCCTCCTCGTCCTGAACCTTGCGCCAGATCGCTTTCTCGTAACCTTCTGTTCCAGTCAGCAGTGATGCATCCCAACCACTCACTCAGCTGCCCCTGGTCACCGATTCCCAACTCGATGGGGCTTTGATTAGTAGCGAAGATCCTGTGCCCGTTATGCACGAGGACGATGTCGGACGTCGGCTTGTTCAGCGTTTCCGCAAGTGCAACAACGATGCGCCTGATTGGGTCGTTCTACGGTCAGTATGTAGATTCAAGCTGGCTCACCCTTGGGAGGTGGAAAACCCTCGGCTTCTCATAGTGATGGATGGCTTTCGTACTCGCACGCTGCCTCATGTCAGGGTCAGCGACCATGGTAACGGTGATCGCAATGGCCGGTCCCTTGTCGGCCGAGTCTTCATTGTCACTGCCGGAATCCGAATCAGACAGGGTGTGTGCCATGGCTGCAGCTTCGACAGAGTCCCAGTGGTCACTGCTGTCAGTCTCGAGTAGATATCGCAGAACCCACAGGAGGCTTTGCCTCATCCGAGCTTCCTTTTCTGGATCACGGATCGTCTCAGGTGGTGGAGTCAGCTCGACGCGGCGTCGAACCTCCTTCGCCTTCCCTTTGCCCTTGCCGTTGGTAGTCTTAGACGATGTTGTTGTCTCTACAAGCTCGACGTCCGAATCTGAAAGAGGTCTGGAGTTAGCTGAAATGACAAACTCACAGCTACTTACATAGGCTCTACGCTTGCTCTGCTGGGCTCCGACGTCCCTCGTCTACAGGGCGGCTTGCGGGCGTTCGAGCTCCTCGTCCATTCTGGCAGTGACGGCTTGGGCTTCGGTTTGTACTTCCGCTTCTTACGCGGGCCTTCATCGTCTGATGGCTCGGAGTCACCGACCTCGATCGGGGAGTCGTCTCGAATAGGAGCTGGTGATCGTAAGTACCCCGCACGCGACCTCGCTTTCCTTCAACACCAGGGAAGGTCGCAGATTAACTCACGGCGTGCGAGCCCGGTCCTGGCTTTGGCCGTGAAGAACTCATCATCGCTGTCCGAGTCGGAGTCAGACATTTTGACTGCCCGCTCTTTTCCCTTGGCGCTCATCGTCGTTGACGGGGTCACAAGGGAGGGAGGAAGCGGCGAAGGAAGGGACGGACAGGCGTAGGGCTGGGGAATGTTGTGATGGTGAAACCGTCGGTGGAGGCAGGGACGATTTGTTGACAAAGCGCAGAAGCCGGGTCCAAAACGCCGCCGCCGTCAATGTATCGACCGGGGCACCTTACTAGAAGTCCTGACTTCTTGATATCCTCGGCGCCGTTTGTGTACCAAACACAGCAATACACATCTTCCATGCCGCCCCGTGTCCCGATATCGCGCCTGCCGAGGCTTACGCTATTCACTGGAGGTCCCGAATGTGGTCTCTGTGAGGTTAGTCGAGAGCTGAGGAATGCCGATCATGCTAACTTCCAGGTCGCACTCGACTACTTGGATCTCGTTTACGAGACACACCCGTTCGACTTGGAGCTGTTCAACATCCGAGATCCCCCGAAGGAGGCTGACCCTATGGAAGCCAACAAGTGGAAGCGCATGTACCAATACGACATTGTGAGTGGTAGAAGGCAGACATCTGAGAGTGTCGCGCAGCTGACACCGGCAGCCCGTGCTTCACCTTGAGGGAAAGGAGGTTCAGAGGAACAAGATCAATACGCCTGAGTTGAAGAAGATACTCGAGGATTGGCAAGCTCAGAGACGGGAAGAGCAGCAGGCTTCCAAGTGAGCTGCTTCTTCCCCGGTTGCACCACATTGTTCGCTCACATCACGACACATTAGACATCATATGCATTGGACTATCACTCTAGCATTCTACTGTCTGACATTGTGCACAGTCTCGCTTCCCTTGCTACCCTCCAGATTCTCAAGGTAATCCCTGAGCCACTGCTCGCGCTCCTCGGGCATGTGGTCGAACTGTCGGTACCTCCTGTCTCGCCTGAGGATTGACTTGATCTCGCCGAGGTCAATCTTCTGCGCGAGATCGACCATGTTCTTGTCCTTGCCCTCCTCGTCATCCGCCATCTCCTCGTCCTTGATCTTGGAGGCGTCCGCGTCGATCTCCTTATTGCGCATGCGACCCCAGAAGTCGACAAAGCTGTTCTCGCCAAGGAGCTCGATGAATTCGGCCCGCGCTTTCTCCTCACGCGACTGGATCCATTGGTCGTACCGCTCCTCGAGGGCGCGAGCGTCGAGGCCGAGCCTCGTGACGACCGGGTCTTCGATGACGAGCGGGTAGACGGTGTCGAAGGGTGTGTCAAGCTGAGCGTGTTGGGCGAACAGGGCGTGCAGGGCATTGTCACGCTTACCGCCGAGGCGGGCAACATGGCCTTCGAACAGGCGCTGCTTGTCGCCCATGCGGAGCGCAGGGTGAGCGAATCGCCGGTCCTGCTGCAGGATGGCTTTGGCCTCCTCCCACGTCATGGCGTCGCGGATGGCGTCAGTCAGCAACGAGCTGAACATGCGCTCGCCTTCCTCACGACCGGCATCCTTGCGAGACTTGTCGACCTCCTCAGACATCTTCGCCTGTTGTTCCCGCACGGACTGCTCGCGCTCGCGCAAGCTCGCCTGCTGCCTCTCCTTGCGCTCGCGAATCTTACGCTCTGCCGCCGTTTCGGTTGACTCTGGTTCAGTTTCTCCCAGCGTCTTAATGTACTTGTTGAAGAGCTCTTCACGCAGCGAACTCGAGCCGACAGCGTCGTAGCGGGGATCGTTCTTGATACCCTGCTTGGCCTGCGACCAGGGAGCGCCGGGCTTGATGTCGTCGCTCTCCTTCAGCAGCTCCATGAAGTCCGCCTCAGCGCGTTGGGCATCGGCCCGCTTCCGCTCCCCAAGCTCGCGTAAATGCGTCTTGAAGAGCTTCTCGCGTTCTCGGTCATCGCGGCCATACGAGTAGAACGCCTTCTCCTTGCGGTACCTGCGGCGGAAGTCGTCCCATCGCGTGCGCGTCGAGGTCACCTGCTCTCGGAGCAGGGCACGGTACTCTCGCTCCGGGTCGGCCTTCTTCTCGACAGCGGGCTTCGGCTTGTTGAGTCTCCGAGCTCGTCCAGCATCGCGACAGTAGTCCTCATACGCCTCTCTTCGCTCCTTCTCAGAGGGAAGGAGCACGTAACGTGGGTCGTTGACAAACAACGGCAGGGAGACATCCCAGGGAGCGAAGGGTGAGATTTCCTTCTCCGCGAGTAGAGCCTGCTTGTCAGCTCAAACGAACGTGCGAGGCGTACCTTGAAAAGAGCGCGACCTTCCTCCAGGGATACCTTCACTTCAGACTTGGCTGCGAAGACTTTCTTGGCGGCCTCTTCCTCAGCCTTCTTCTGAGCAGCCTCAGCATCTTCGGCGTCAGCAGCCGCCTTCTTGTCCGCCTCGGCGAACTCGGCAGCGACAGCCTTCATCCACGCCTCCTCGTCCTCTCCCTCAGGTGCGTACTGCTCCTCAACTTCGTCGTCCTTCTCCTTGTCCTGCTTCTGCGCCTTAGGCTCCGGTGCGCCCTCACCCTGGTCGGCTGCCTTGCGCTTCTTCTCCTCGGCCTTGCGTTTCCGCTCCTCTGCGACCTCTGCACGGATGCGCTCCTGCTCGCGTATCCTCTCTAAGCGCTCAGCCTTTTCCTTCTCCTCCTTCTCCCGACGCTCAGCCTCGTCGAAGGCGGCGACAGCCTCGGCGATCTCAGGCGGAACGGTCCATTCGGAGCGCTTCGTCTCTTTCTCAAAATAGAACGTATGGCCCTCATTTGTGGTAACGCGCGTCCAGCTTGTACCAGGAATGGGCGTCTTGACCTTGGCCTTCTCCTTCTTGCGCTTCTTCTCTGTTGGAGGAGCAGCAGGGGCGGCCGGAGGAGGAATCGGCGCTGCGGGGACAACCAGGACTGGCCGGCGGTACGTAGATGTCTTCGTAGCCGCATTGTAGTAGTAAGGGGTCTTGCCATCCGGGGCTAATGATCAGCTTCGAAAACACATCGCACTCACCGAGATGCTCGCTCCATCCTGGAGGAAGAGGGGGCGGGAAGTTGGGCATCATGTTAGGGGGCGGCATCGGGAAGCCAGGAGCGCTGCGTGTTAGACTGGGAACCACACGCAGCTGCTTACCTTGCGGGTACACCAGTGCTAGGACCACCTCCAGGCGGTCCAGGAGGGGCGCGACCGCCGGCACCGGAAGCCATTTTTGGATGCAAGAGATGTTGTGCGGGAGCGACGTTTTGGTGAAGATCAGAAAAGGTGGAGGGCTCATGAAATCGTCACTTCGCTGTTTTGGGTGGCGGCATTTTCAGGGTACACATGGCGATGTGCGGAGTTGGCGCCCGTCTCGCTCACGGCCTGACATGACGAGCGCATTGCTGCACATGACTCTGATGATTGGTATACATGGCAAAGTATATGAGAAGCCTCTGTTTATGCCTCATACAATGGATTAACGCGTTACTATATACTACTGACTAAAATGCCTTCTTGTGGATGATGTCTGGATCCTCCTTGTATTCATCAGCCGACACCCACATCCTCTTGAACGTGCTCAGTCCGGCCAGGATCGATCCTCCGATCCAGGTAGAGTACTTCTGTCAGCGAGGCACTGGAGATCAGGGGCTTACCTTGCGTTCTGGCGGGGCGTAGATCTTCAGCTTGACATCCTTCAGAGCGAGCTTCTTCACCTCGTTCAGTAGACGGTCACCGAAGCCTGGATGTCAATATGATGCAAAGCAGGAACAACACACCAGTGCAGAGCGTTGAACCGCCGGAGAGAACAATATTTGAGAAGAGGCTTTTCCTCAGGTCCATATCGCAGCGGTTGATCGAGTCGACGATAACCTGGTGCACACCAGGGTACTCTTGTCCAACGAGCTCTGGGTTGAAAAGGATCTCCGGGGCCAGGAACCGCTCCGTTCCAAGCTGGATGACCTTTCCATCGGGCAGGCGGAACTCCTCCCAAGCGCCGGCGTGATCCTTCTCCTCCTTGCTCGGGTTGAGGGAAAGGTAACATGTCTTCTCCTTGATGGTGCGCACGACCTCCTTCTCTGCGGATGTGTGCAGGTAATGACCTGCTTTGCGGAGCAGAGCTGAAGGTGGTCGGTCACGTCACGACCAGCGAGGTCTATCCGTTGGATCGCGTGAGGCATGCTGAAGCCTTCGTAGACCGGTACGGCGTGTGTCACTCCATCACCAGAGTCCAGGACAATACCTGTTGTTCGGCCAGTTGAATACCTGGATGTTAGTTGAGCCCCAATCTTTCTGACGCACAGACTCAGGATGGCTTGGACACTTGTGAAGAAAGCAGGGACGTTGAACGTCTCGAAGAAGATCTGGGCCGCGACGTCACGGTTTTGACGCGGGTTCAAGGGGGCTTCAGTCAAGAGTACCGGGTGCTTGCTGTCAGCTGAGCCGCCGTTTACAAGGGTTACTTACCTCCTCGCTCAGCGCCTTCAGACCCTCGTTGTAGACCCAGCCCCAGATCCGCTCCATGTCATCCCAGTCCGTCACCACTCCGTGCTCCATCGGATACTGAATTTTGAGCAGTCCGCGGTACTCCTGTGCTCGCTTGCCGATGAACAGTTTGTCCTCGAGACCGCCCGCCATGACACGCTGGTGCTTCGGCCGCCCGACGCTGGTCTGTCAGTGGACTCTTACAGAAGATGTTGCCGCCGACAAGAGGCCGGATTTCGGGAGAGAACGCCGCACGAAGGTGGTTTGTCTTTGCGCCTTCCTTCCGCAGCAGGAAGCTGGGCTGCCACTGTTGTGCGTTTAGCAACTCACAAGCTGGGAATGTAGCAACTGGGTTGCTCCTGACCGGCGAAGCCCGCCTTTATGGTTCCAGAGCCCTGACTATCAGCTTCAATGCTCCGGTGGTGAACACGGTCGAACTGGTGCAAGGCCGCGCAAAGCTACTGCGACGTGCTCGCCCGCGATAGTTGTAGCGTTCGGGGAAGGTCCTTGGATCAACAAGCACGACTTACATTGTCGATGACGACGGGCTGGTTCGTGAGACTGTTCCGTTAGCGCCCTATCAACGACTAAAAAGCCGGAACTCACACGTCGTCAAACTCTGTCGCCATCCTGGGCGAGGTGGTTGCTCTCTTGCGGTGATCGAGGTATTAGGTGACCTCCAGCACAAGCGCGAACCTCTGGTGACGATGTGGCCAGCGGACGGCGGTACCTGCGACTGACGCGCGACGCGCCGCCGAAAGGGGAGGACTGAATAAACTATTCGCGTGGACTTCACGCTCGAGCCTCCACCTCCACAAAACAACGACTGTGCCTGGTGGACATCGCAGCGAGCTATGTCTCGACTGCATGACTGCGCTCCCGACGACTGGTCCCACGTAGCGTTCGCCAATCGTTCGTCGACGGTGTATTTTCCGCTTCGGACTAACGTTGATTGCGAGCTTTCCATGCCTTCGATGAGTGCTCAACTCCACTCCTTGGTGCGGCGAGTTTTGCAGTATAACCAGTATTGCCTGGCTGGAAGTGGGATCTCCCCCCAGTTGCCTCCGATGTAAGGCACAATCACGGGGCCAAGAGCGCGGGATGGCGATGCTGACATGAGCTGACGACAGCTCTCCCACTGCAACATGTAACATCCATCGCTTGAACTATCGAACCTACTGATATATTCACCTCGCGTGTCGTCGGCGCCCGTGGATTCACACCATCTCTGAGAATCTGGCGCCTCCCGAAGACATATAACAGCCATGAGCAACAGCATTTTAAGCCCCCTGTCTCCATCTTCCCTCTACTCGCCACCGCTGCCCACATCGCCGCCCGCGGAAGCCCCTCCAGAGATGTCTATCGATGACGAGCTGCCATCCTACTCGGACACGTTGCGGTCCGGCCCCGCTAAATACGCATGCTTGATGCTGTCAGGAACAGACAGGATCCAGGCCATCTCCTTTCCGTACAACAGGCGGACTCGAGATCTCCTCGTGTCAGCATTGAAGGTCGGCCAAGGTGTCGCCAACTGTGACCTGCCAGAAGACGGTGTATGGGACTTCAAGCTATATGGCAAGCCCTGTGAGTCGGCTGTCTGCAATTGTAGCAGACCACACAACTGCAATTGCAGCAGATCGTCCGAATCGCGCTAACGTTATGCAGGGTCGCTGGATTCACTGGACGCCGTCAGAGCGCCGCACATACTCGTTTCGCTCTACACCACCTTGGCAACCGCGGGGTGGCACCCTAGTGCATCCGTGGACATCGTGAAGAAGAAGACGTCGCATGACTCGATTTATTTCCGGACGGGGCCGCGCATTCCGAGAGAGTTCTTCGCAATCACTATTGAGGAGAGCGACAAGCTGCGGTTGGTCGACGCTCCCTGCCAGAGAGTGAAAGATGCGTTTGTAGGGGCCTGTGCAGTGAGTATTAGATCCGGAGTTACGTTCGTGGCTAACGCCAAGACTTGGCCCAAGAGCCAGACTGTGCAGGAGAAGGAAATGGGCAGTCTCGTCGTCAAGTTCAGCGGTACTCCATGGACGGCGTGGAAGGGCGACAACACTCGCGGCGCCCGCCGCGTTCTCGCCGCCGCAATGGAGCGTCTTGAGACGGCCGGCTTCGAGCTCGTCTCTAGCGTTTCGCTTTCGGGGCGAGTCATGATGATTTTTGGCACCCGGCGGTTCTGAATTGCTTGAAGGAAGAGGTGCGAAAGAAGAGTCGAAAGTGATCTAATCAAAGGGAGCAGTGCAGAGACGGTGCTTGGGCCATTGAAGCCACTCGCTAGCCGACGTAACCGACCTTATCAGCAAGCGGCGGAACCGAGTGGCGTGCATGTTGTAAGGAGTTCTGGAGCTGTGTACAATACAAGACTGTACATGATGAATGGGCTGTGCATGATGCTGTCTACGTCGATGTGCAGCGTGCTTGCTGCGCAATGTTTGGAGGGGAAACGAAGAGCCCGCACCGTGGACCAACGGACCCAGATCGGCGTCCATCTTGGCCATCTTGGCGGCGGAAAGGGGCATCGGACCCGAGTTCCTGTGCCTTAAACGCCTTGACGTACGGTCGACCGTCCACAGCTTCTAGTGCTGACCCATGGCGCAAGATGTTAGCTTTCCTCCCTCCATATATAACACGGCGTGAGCACTTTGCAACACCTCATTCATCCCCAACCTAACACACGACTTGACCATGGGACTTTTCTCATCCGACAAGAAGTATCCCGTTCCACCTGACCCGACCGGCCAACCGCCGGCGAGCAATCCTCCTCCCCCTGCTACGTACACGGAGCAGAGCCCTCCCGGATATCACCAGGCGACGTCCTCCATTTCAAGCTCGTTCGCCGGGCCATCTGGATCTTCGACGAGCGGCGGCTTCGGAGGCGGTGTCGGCTACACGGCTTCAGGCTATCCCGATGAGAAGAAGCAGCCGCTGGAGGCTGCCGCGCCGACACCTTCGATGCCGATTTACGCCTGCATGTTGTTGAGCAGCAGCGACAAGCTGCGCCTGCTGAACTTTCCTCACAGCGTGTGGGACGCCATCGAGCAAACGATCATTCGCGCCTGGATTGGAATCCAGCGCAAGAAGATGATGGATAACAGCTGCATCGAGTTCAAGTTGCGCGGAAACCCCTGTGAGTTACGGCCTTGGCATGCTGACAACAATGGACGCCCCGCTAACGATGCCAGGGTACGGGCAGTACAGCGAGGCAGTGCCGTCACGCCGTCTCATGACCCACCTCCTGCACTGTCTGTCGGTACATGGCTGGCACCTTTCGATCTCGACCGACCTCTCGAAGAAGTCCTACGACAAGGACACCCTTTTTTTCCGTCATGGCCCACCACTGAACCGCATGTTCTTCTCCGTCTCGTTTAATGAGTACGACAAGATCAGGATCATCGACCCGCCAACGGAGCAGATTAAGAACGCATTCGTCCAGGCTGTACAGGTAGGAGCTTGTTGTCGCCCCCTTAGCTAACAGGCACAGTCATGGCCGCTCGGCATCCAGAGGACGGAGACCAAGGAACATGGATGCACCCAGCTCAAGCTCAGGGGGAACCCATGGATGACCTCTGACGGAGTGGAGGTCAACCAGGCCCGTCTCATGGCTATGACTATCATGACAGTCATGGACCAGCACGGCTATGAGCTCGCCGGCTCGGTCGACATGAGCGCAAGCGGCGGGGAGGGTACCAGCGACCGTGAGCGCGTATATTCTAGGCAGAAAGGCTAACCGCAGTGGACACCTGGTTCTTTGCCTCCAAGATCCAATAGTCAGCCATGCGTGGCCCGTACCAAGTCTCACATGTGTCTTATAGCTTGAGCGAGCCCCACACAGCGGAAAGCATGCGAGCGGGCAGTGTATCTAACTCTTTCGTTGAATATAATCTGACAGCATCCAAAGTCCTCCTCTGATGGCCACAAGAGTGAAAGCAATGCAATAATTTTACAAGTACGACAGAGAACCAGAACCTAGACCTACTGTGGGTATCTCCTCACCTCCTTCTGGGTCAGTTGCTGTCCGCGAGATATCGCATCCAAAGTCAACCTTACCATACCCACCCAATCTGCTGAAGTATGATTACTCTCTTAATGCTGATGGCGAACGACATGGTGAAGCTTCGTGAGCTGCCAAAACAGTACATACTTAGACCTCTGGATTTGCTCGTTGGGCACGCCCTGGTGTGGATGGTCGAGCTATGCACTGGTCGGAGTGAGGACGAGTCCTCCTGCGCCTCCTGTCCCTACACTTAGTATCGCGGACGCTTCGAGTCGCGGTCGTAACCTCCGTAGCCGCCACCGCCGCCTCCTCCTGGCGCATCGTAGTCGCGCTTGTAGCCGCCGCCGACGCCACCGCTGATTGTTAGCTTCGTCGATTGCGGATCAACGGCTTACCCGTAGCTACCACCGCCACCACCACCACCGCCGCCGTAGCTGCTACCGCCGCCGAACCCACCGCCACCGCTTCACCGTCAGCACGAGGCTCGCCGAAGTCTAAAGAATAACTTACCCAGCTCGGTCACCATAACCGCGGTCGCTTCCACTCGGCGGCTGGAAACCTCCCGGACGTCCACCACGGAACCCACCACCTCCTCGGCCTCCACCAAAGCCACCACCACGACCACCGCGGAAGCCGCCTCCTCGGCCACCGCCGAATCCTCCCCGGAACCCACCACGGAACGACGCCATGGGCGGCGGCGCCGTGACCGGCTTGGGTCGGCCACCGAGGCCGCCACCGAGCTTCCGCGGCTTCCAGCCCTTGACTGTTCGGCCTCGCTCGACGTCGACGAGAATCTTCTTGTGATGGATCGGGATGCCGTCCGCGTCCTTGTACGCAGCCTTCATGTCACGCTCACGCTCGAAGACAATGAAGGCATAGTTCCGTGACTTGCCCTTACGCTTGTCGCGCACGATGCGGATTTTCTCAATGTGGCCGTACATCTCGAACTCGTGGCGCAGGTCGGCTTCCGTCGCCTTGGAGGAGAGGCGAGAGATGAACAGCGTCTTGTACGGATCTCCGGAAACCTCGGGGTCGTGGGCGGGGTCCCCTGTGATGTCAGTTCCGACACAGGGTTGTGGAACTCACAAGTCTTCTCAAGGTTCTCCTTGTACTCCTTCTGCTGCTTCTTCTTCGCCTCTCTCCGCATCATGACAGCCTCCTGGCCAATGACACCAGCCTCAGCGATCGGATCCTTCTTCTTCTTCTTGTCGGCGTCAACATCAGGCTTGGACTCGACCTGGCCATCCTCGGGTTTGTCAGTGTCCATGGGCTCGTCCTTCACCTCCTCCTTGCGCTCCTCGAGTCCCTGCTTGACCTCATCGTCCTCGGCCTGGTCCCTCAGCTGCTTGACGAGCGCAGCGATGCCGGTGATCTTGTTCGGTCCGCGGTCGCTCGTGTCCTTGCTCATTGGCGGGAGGTAGTTGAGAGGCGGGCGCGGCGCGAACAGCCGCAGGAGATTGGGCGGGAGCTTGGCTGTCATTATTGTCCGTGAGCTCCGGGGGCTGCAGCACAGTCGGCGTGGTTGTTGTTCTGATGGCGGCCTGCTGAGATCGGGTTGCGAACCGACTTCTGACTCCAAGCGCGTCGCTCACTGGCACTTCGTCACTGAACGCCACCAGGTGGTTTCCACGTGGAATTATAACTCCGGGCGTGGCACATTGCCCAACGATCCTCCTGTTTCGCCTTCCTCATGCATCGAACCAACCTAACTAGCTACGAACCACGCAGCTCGCTGCCATCATGCAGGAGGCTATCGCCGCCGCCATGCTAATGCGCCGAGAAGGTGTCGGCCGACTTGGAAGCCCGGCATCGGAGATCCGATCATGGGTTTGTAGTGGACGGGAGAGCAAAGTCAAAATGTGTTCTTGGCCAACGACAACTCCAAGACAGCTGAGACAACAACATCAACCGACTCCGCAATATCGGGTCAATGCTCGTTGCTCAGAGGATACACAATGTGGAGAGTGCTAGGGACAGGCCGAGGTGAGGGGTAAAGCTTAATGGGGGCGTCCAGGAGCGGGCAGACTGCAGAACTTAGCCTGGCGAAGCAGCTCTGTGCGACGCACCAACATGTTTAAAACAATGACACACAGCACTCATCTCGGCGCAGCTCGCAACAGTCAAGGATCAAGGAGCGATGGCTTACGGAACCCACTATTGCAGCCATGTTTTCGGCGCACTGGGCTTGAAGGCAGGGCCGTCCGGAGTGCGCGCTGTGCGCACTCCATGTTGGCCTGCAACTGACCAGATCGACGGTACCACTAGAGGGAAGCCGCGAAACCTCTGCCAAAGTAAGATCCCAGCGGACCGACCGTGCACCTCACAGATCTAGCGACCGGTACCCCACTCTCCTTGGCCCAAGCCTTTGCGGAATGCGACCCTGGCCTTGCCAGACGGGCAAAGCGGGGGCCGACAACGGCTCTTCTTTGAGCAATGCCACCACCTGCTGCGACGATAAGCTGCCTCTCGAGCAAACAGATTACCCCGCCCTTCAGGAGCGGCCTGCCTGGGGCTGATACATGCTCGCTCGGGACGCTGTGGATCCTGAGCGAATCTTAGCTGAACACAGTTTGCTTAATGACCGCATCGATTAACAACAGCACTCACCCAGTTGTGGGGTAGGCGGAGAAATCAAAACTCCATGGGCAAGGCTGGGTCATTGCCGCCGTTCGAAGATCTACCGAGATCTCCGTATCCTAACAGATAAGGGAAAGGCTGGAGGCTGCAGAGGCTGCCGGGTGATCGCCCCCAGACGCTTGGACGTCAAGGGTGGCATGCGGTGACAACAGGGTCGGTGGGCTGTGGCGTTTGCCTTGTCGATTATTGATCTTCAGCTGGAAAATTGGTGCACAACAACTCAACAGCCTGACACGAGCGCGCTGCGCCGCCTCTTTGCCAAGATCAATGCAGCTGTGAGACACAGATGAGTAACCTCGTAAGCCCGACGATGCGATGCAGATCAGAGCCCTACAGCCGAGCGAGGCGAAAGTTCGAGATGATCGTGGATGAATCGGGGTCATCCTGGGTGTTTCGCTGGATCTTCATTTCAAGCGGCATGCTCCGGTTGGCCGACCGTGCGTCGATCCAATGCGCCGTGGATGAACTCCGGCGCCGTGCGATCTACCCTGCGTCCAACTACTGGGTCCTCTGGTGGTACGCTCCGCAGACCCCGTGTCATTGATGGCGTCCGTGTCATCGATGGCGTCGTCCGTTATTTTCCTACAGGTGATCAAAACCCTGTCTTCACCTTTGTCTGTTATGCTTCCCCGCGGAGTTGGTAACAAAAAGGCACAGTCCCTATCGCCACAGGCTGCCACGGCCTGCCCAGCACTTGACAGTAAGGACGGACGATCGCTGGAGATCCGGGAGGCTGAACTCTAAGGCGTCTTAGCGACAGGCGAGGCGCCCGTGTTCGCTGAGCTTGCCGATGACATCTGGGCTTTTTGGTGGGTCTCCTATTGTCTACGTATCGGGTTTGCATCTCTGTCAGCCATTCGAGGGCTCGGCGTTGCGTCAACTTGAATGCCAGATGCCGTCGAGTGCTGTTCCGTCGCGATCCGAAGGGCCCGCCGCAATGCCTGAGCTTTCGGTCAGACTTCGGCGCTTTAGCAGACACGCAAAGTCTGTGCAGCAGCACAGGGTTGAGGGCATAGGCGCACTGTGCGGAATGCTACGCGTCCTGACATTCCGCACACGGCCTCCCAGGCCCCTCCGAGGCCAACTCACATGCCTTAGTCCTCGTAAGCGCACTGCTATGCGTGCAGTGGTTGGCTACAAGGCCGCGCGAGGAATGCTGAGCAACTTGGATTCCGAGGTCGTATGGCACTCTAATTAGGTGATCGCGCGTCTTGGTATTGGACTGGTGCAGAGGGGCACAGCAACAGGAACCTCTCCAGAACATGGCAGCGACGCGCTCCGCCACGTCCATGAACCATAGGACCATGCCACTAGCTGCCCCAGCGCTTCGCCGGAAACGCGGATACGCATGGCAACGTCAAGCATCCTTTAGATCCATGACAAGGCGCTGGCACAGGTCGGGTCGGCGCAGAAATTTCGGGCAGGAGAGTCCTTCCAGGAAGAGCCTAATCCATTGCTGATCTTTATCCTAAACCTCGGAGATACTAAGGCTCACCTCGGCGCCCTGGCTGGCGGGTGGGCGCGTCGGACGCCGCCTCGGCGTCGAGGGCTGTGGCGGGTGGCTGAGCCCTGACAACGAACGGACCGCGGAATCACGCATTCACACCGTCGCAGCAGGTACCCAGAGGCACAGAGCAGGTGCATCAGCAAGACACCCAGCTGCTGAGCTTTCGCCCGAACCGCCCGACTGGTCCGAATACTGCCCCAGGCAAGTCCAGTCTCGCCGATTAGAAAGCAAAGCCTTGTGCGCCGACGCAAGCCGTCATCAAAGCCGTTGGAGCACTGGCGCCCACCGACACCGGGCATGGCGAGGCATTGTGGCCAGATCCGGCCAATCGCATGCCACCGATGGGCCAGCCAGACCGACGATGGCGCTGAACCAAAGTGAACCAAAAGTGAGATGAACGACGGCCGCCCTTGTGGATTTCTCGGCCACTGACGCACCGCCAGGGTTGCTTCAGTCGGCGCCAGTCAGTCCCTCAGGATGCCCTCAGGACGGCTTCAGGAGGCTGCCCAGGAGACACATATTGTGCCAGGATGACCTAGGTCATGAAGAACAAAGAGAGGCGAACGCTTGGGACCGCTGAGTGTCGCCGCTCTGATCGGGCGTCCTACTGGGATCCGCCCCTCGACCGGCCCGGCTGCCAGCAGGAGATCGCCCTCCTATTGTTCAGAGGTTAACGTGATGATGAATGCCGTCAAGCCAAGCAGCCACGAGTCAAAGAGATCAGCACAGAGATTAATTTACTGGCTGCCAGGTTGTTGTAGGCCAAGTGGGGGGGTCGCGTGCGGAGTCCAGGGCTGACTGATAGAGATCTGGCCCGTCTAAATCCCGCTCCACAGCTTCGCTAACCTTGCGCGATAAGTGCAGGGGCAGAAGCAGAGCAGGGCAAGGTGAACGACGCGTCAGCAACGAGGGATCCGCAGAAGGCGATGGCTGCACGTATCGAATGTTCTGTATCGGGTCGGGTTCGCTAAGGCGGCCAGGCCACCTGGAGGAGTAGTAGTAAATCAAGCTTGAGGACCCACTCAAGTCTCAGTCTCAGCGCAGCAAGACCCCTGCCCGGATTGCGGTGGATCCCGTGCCTGCCGACCGAAATGCCTGCAACAGCTGGGCGGAAATGGAAGAAAAGACAATGACATCATGGTGCGGAGTGCGGAGGGCGCTTTAAGCGCTGCAAAAGTCGCGTGTGTGTGTCATGTCGTTCCTGTGGTAACCGCTGTCTGTACCTGCATGTACCTTTTCCGGGCCCCCCTGCCCCTGTGTTCCAACCCAGATTGCGAAGACTGACCATGCTGCGCGTGCTGCGGCACCCCGCTACCCCACACCGCCATGCACAGGAGCAGGTGGTGCACTGAGGCTTGAATGCGACGATTCCGGGTCGCACTGGCCTGTGGCTGCCATGCCTGCGTCGGATGCAATGAGTATAGTGGAGATACGCTCAGACTCATTATGGACGATGCGGGCACCAGCGATGGTCATTTGGACGGCAGGCACAATCAACAAAGTCTTGAAATGGAGGCGGGCATTAGAAAAACATTCCTCGAGTCGCTTAAGGCGCTGCCCAGTCATATTGCGTTTCCAGAAGCGCGGCACATGCCTTGCATACCGCGGTTTGCCTGGCTGTCTGTGAGTTTGATTCCCATTGTAGCGATACGCACCATTCGATCATGTTGCATGTGCGTAACCTCGTGAATGATGCTTAAGCGACCTGAGCTGCTTAGTGGGTCTACCTGTGTCGCAGCCTGACTGTCTGCATGCACTGAAGTGGTACGTGCTCCACGCAGAGCAGAAGTGCACGAGCTCTCAGCAGTGCATGCTCCAGAGAGCGGGCTTCGGGAAATGGGAACTGGACACGAAGGGTTCCAGCGCCCCCTCCCTCGATTCCTTGACCCCTCGACGCCCGGTCAAGCCCCCAGGTAGTCCTCAAAGGGCTTGGCTGTGATCCATCCTCACTGTTGTACCCAGTGTTGCAGCTCAGGCTCCGATCCAGCCAGAGTGAGCCTGGCTGACCCAGGCTGGCCCAGGTGCATCTGGCGAACCCTCACCTTGCGTGCTCTGTTGTTCTGCTCCAAGTGACGGGCATGAACGCATGAACAGTGGGACGACAGAGTATAGCAGGATAGCCGACCCGAGCGCATCAGATAAGCAGCTTAAGCCGCGAGGCGAATGGCCCAGTGCGGTGTGTGCAGGAAAGAAAGCTGCATGTACACAGACTGAAACAACATCTCGTCTGGAATAAAAGTTGGGTCTCAAAAGTCTATTATTGCGGTAACGTCAGTCATCCCCGATACCACTCTTTTGTTTCCCTCCAGACGACCCAGAGCGAACACAAGCCAGACCCCTGACACGAACAGCATTCCCCCCTGTTCACTCTTTCTCTTTGTTCGATCCATTCCTCCCTCCCTCCGTCACTCCCTTCCCTTCCCCGCATCGCACCTGGGTGGGTTGACGACGCGTACCCTCGACTGCCCGCTGCCCGACCGAACCGGAACGCTGTAGCGCACGCCCTGCCGACGGGCGAGTCAGTGTTCGACAAGCCTACGTCGATCTCTGAAGCACTCTAAGCACGAGCGTAGTAGAAAAGGCTACGCACGCAAGACGCGGTACGCGCTGACCGCCGAGCGGAATTGATTCAGCCCGCTGTGGAAAACGACAAGCGGGTGCGCGACGTAACCAGTATCCGAGTCGCGTGTGCGATTTCCGACTGAGCGCTAGAGATAGGGTGCTGAGTGAGCAAGAACGCATTAGGCTGTGGATTAGTAGTTCGCTTCGCAAGCTGCAAGGACTGGAAGCCCACCAGCTCGGACGTTGAGCCTAGCAAGCGTGCGTCCGTATCCTGGGCCAACTGAACCGTCTGCCTGGGTTTGGAGCGGCCGGTGCTCAATCTCCTTTCTCGCTTGAGACCGTCCCCTTCTCCGCCCACAGCCTTCAGCACTCCGCCCGAGCATTGCTACCCTCTCCGTCCGCCTGTCGCCTTCTGCCTGGTCTGCCTGGTATCGGCACGGCGCTTGCCCTGTATCCCTCAAAGCACAATCTCTGCCCGTGCTCCGGCGCTCGTTTAATAGTGCAGCCAATAATCCGCGCGCTGTCTGCTGATTAGCACACGGTGGTCCGTTTCTCCCTCCCCTCTGTAGGCTGCGATCCGACTAGCGCATCGCAGAGTGAGCCGGCCAGCAGCACTTGACCGAGGGCTGCATCAACCCGTCTCTTAGCCTCTGCTCGGCCTTCTCGTCCTGGGGCCAGCCAGCCAGCCAGCCAGCCAGGCCGCCGTCCTGCTGCCTTCCTCACTCGCTCCCTCCTGCCTCCTTCCGACTGGACGTCGACGACTTTACATTCCTCGCATAACCCCAGCCTCCCACCATCTCCCTTCATCACACCACCACATCTCTCATACATACAACACACCTCGCATCACCCGTCCACACCGCCATCCGCGTGCATCCACCGTCCCCGTACCTGGCCAGGACCACCAGGAGGACCAGGACCCCACCACCCGGATCGCCGTTGTCAGAGGAGCATCTCGTGCACTTGGGATCCGCTCCTGCGCCTGCGGCTGTTGGACCTGCGCGGCGGCCCCGTACCAGACCCAGACGCTGGGCCTGAATCGAAATCTGGCTTTCCCTGTCCGGACTGTCCGGGCTGGCCCTCAGGCCCTGTACATACCTTAATCGCCCTCGCCCCTCACCGACCCTCACCCTCGACCCTCAGCCTCAGCCCAGCCAGCCAGCCCAGCCAGCCCAGCCCAGCACCCCTCACCTCAACCCTCACCCCGAAAAACCAAGCCTCTCCCTGCGGGCAAGCATCGGTCACCTGCCTTCCCTCCTCAGTCACTGCATCACCGTCCCACCACACCTGCGACCGCGACCTGCGCTGCTCTCTCTCCTAGCGTCATATCCGCCGGCTCACTACCACGCCGCTCTCTCCACCTCCATCTTTGTCATCTCGCCGCCATCTCCGACTCTGCATCCCTTCGACTCTCGACTCTTGTCCATCGCTCTCTCCCCCGCCAGACCACTAATTTTCCAACATACCACATTCCCCCACCGACCCTCGGCATCAGGGGCGATCCCGCCCACTCCATTCCACACACTGCAGTCATCGTCGTCGGCAGTCCCAGAACTCGATCAGGCTAGCTGACCTGCCGAAACGTCCTACCCGTTCTACGCAACGTCTGGATTCTTAGTCATTTCTGGTGAGACACTGTGGACTCGACCTGCATCAACACCCATCTCTCTCTTATTAAAACTCAGTGGCAAAAGGGGACCGAGTCACAACAAATTTATCCCCTCTCGTCGACGTCACAGCAGGCAGCCCGTGTCGCCTTCCCCCCCATCACCGGACCTCTTCGACCTAACCATCACCGAAGATTCTCTGACGGGAGCTTGAGCGCTTGCGCGCACACCCATCAGGAGACAGGTCCGTCAACCTTCCCTTCCAACCGCATCTCCTCTACCTCGACAGGCCATTACAAACCTACTTCCACCCCCTTGCCACCGGCAGTTGCCAGCCGCCGGTTTGGTAGTGTCGCCACCCATTCACCACGCAGGTATAGCGTCGACGTTCGCCATGCCTGCTGATGCTGGCCCCTCGGTGCCGTCGCAGGCGAAGCAAGAACAGCCTGGTGCCGGTTTCATCTGCACCCCGGACCAGCTGTACATGCATGTCGTCGGATCATACCCGAGCCAAGAGGCATTTGGATACCCCGGCGATCATGACTCGCACGGTCAATCACCCATCGCTCGTTCACGAGCAGACGACAACGAGGACGCCGCTGGTGCTTCTGCACGTGCAAAGAAGCGCCGCAAGACGCAGAGGCGTGCAAAAGTGTCTGAGATCTGGTTCCCCAAGGCGGAGATGGCTTTCTGCACCAGTGAGTACCTGTGTCCTTTGTCTTTGACAAAAAAGCATACACATACACAGGAACCAGGCGCAAACGCTGTGTGGCTTCTGGACTTCAACCTTCCCCCAACCCCAACAAACGCTAACCTCTTTCCGCAGGTGTCGCTTGCATTCCTCCCAACGGTCGAACGAAAATCAAGTTCTTTGGACGTCCCCTCGGCCGCAACGAGCTCATCGCGGCCATCTGTACTCTTGCGACGCGACGACTATACAACAGAAAACAAATATCCAGTCACTCCCAGGTTCTGAAGGACAAGGTTCCGCCAGTTTGTAAGTCGGGATACACACAGTCGTTGTGTGAAACGGACGACTAGAAGGGATTCGTGACGTTCTATTCGCCGCGTAATCATTTTCGAAGCATAGACACTGACATCCACCCCAGTCAAGGAAATCTTTACGTTTGAGGACAAGTCTAGAGTGGGGGAAGAGCCTGGCGAGACATCGACCGCCAATGTCATCGAGAATTATTCCTTCCCCGAGGTCATCTACAACATCATCGGTTACCGCGTCGGAACCGACCTAGCGAACAGCCCCAAACCACCCTGGCTTCTCGACCTCGAGGCAGGAGTAACGGACGCGCCGACCTCGATGACGGAAGCGGGCGGTCCTCGTGGAGCAGGCGCCTACTCCTATTGGAACAGCCCGTCTGATTACACCTCATGGACGTACGACCGGGGGGGCGGCGGTAGCAGTCATCGTAAGGATCCCTACTACTACGGTCAACACGGAGGCGCGAGTAGACAACAGGGCCCTTACGGAAACCAGCTGCACACGCTACCGCCCTTGTCGCTTCCGCGTGACATGGACGCCCAGAGCCCAGTCACGACCTCCCCATCGACCATTGGAGATCCATTGAGCGGTGGACGGTATCCGTACGGCAGCATGGGTAGCCGAAGTCAATATGGGGATGTCGGCAGGTCGCCTCCGACGTCCACCTCTCCATATGACTCGCAGTCAGGTGCGTCTCCATTTTATCCACCCCACCCGGGAATTGAGCCATCCGGGCCCGTAACATCTGCCGCAGCAGGTGGCCAGAACGGGCACATCACTCTTCCTCCTCTTCCAGACAACCCTCCGTCCCAGTATTCTGACTGGAAAGATCGTTCTGTCTACCCGGAAACGTCCAAGTACGCCCCAGCGTCGTATGGGTCGCAGTCGTCTCGCAGTGGGCTGCCTCCACTGTCCAACTTGCCCTCCCTCGGGAGCGTCGCTAGCCAGACAAGCGGTTATGGTCTCCCGCTTTCGTCGACTTCCCAACCCTGGGGATCGTCGTACGGGTCAAACTGGTCTGACCAGCGCTCCCTGCCCACGTTCCAGCCCACCGCCTTTGAGGCTCGCGGCAGAGCATACGACGGCTCTCAGGTTCCCCTGACCATCAACGGTCCCCTCGCAATGGGCGAGCCCATGGCTTGGCACTCGATCTACATGTGGCGCGAGCGCTACCCTTTCCTGGAACAGATCGCGGCGACGCCGGGTCTCTCAGTGTTCCACATCGACGTTTACTTTTCCCTGCCCGCCGATTGGGGAATGCAGATGTCGGAAATGTCGGTCGACTTATCGCTCAGACCCCCCGGAAACGAGACGACGGGATGGTCGCTGGTCACCGATTCTTCCTTCCTGCACCCATCGGGTCATGTGCGCTATCCGCGAACGGCGACCGAGCTGCGCCTCAACAATTCTGGGGACCTCGTCGGTTCTGCCCCCACATCGGAAATGGGTCGTCTGTACAACTATCTTCTCGCAGACCAGGGACGCGACATCGAAACCCTGGCGTCTATCGGCTCGCCAAACAGCGCCATGGTGCAGGCGGTCATGCGCGACACATCGGTGTCGATCCCGCCTCACCATGTCGGCTTACCGCCCCTGGGAGCGGACTGGAACCTCGCGTCGACGCTGATCATATACACGTTCTGGTCCCCGGACCCCGATCCGTCGAGGCAAGGTCTACCGCCCCAGTGTCGTCCAGTTGAGTTTGCCCCGCCCGCACCTCTGCCGCCTGTCGATATCGGCTCAGACCCCTTGGTTGCCGGTCTGCTCGCGGGAGAGGACACACAGCCGTCCAAGTTTGACTGGATGGGCACCGGCTAAACAGCCAAACAGCTATCTTTCTTCGTTCTTCCGACCTGTTTGGAGCCCCAGGAGCCCAGAAAGCAATTGGCTCGCTCCACATACACGGTCGTTCGCATTGCCTCTTTCTTTCTGGTTAGTTCACAGCCTCCATTGATTTTCTTTCAGTTTGCCATCTTTTGTTGCTCATGATATGCGGATTAGTTTTGATTGATGTAGTTCTATTGCGTCTCGATACGGATCAACCAAGCGACGTATGCTGCTGCGAGCTGCTTATTCAGGACTAGTGACAAACGCGCTGCTGACAACGCGCACTAACCTCGGACCTCGGTGTTTTCGAACTGCTGATGAAGGGCGCCCCGAGCGACCGGCGGGTCGTTCCCTGCAACCACTAATCCAAATTTAACTTTATCTAGCGCAGGGGCCTGGCCAGTCAGTCTCTGCGTAGGACGGTCTGCTCACATTCCGCAAAACAGCGCTTTCACCCCTGCACCTGCCGTCCGCCACGATGGCACCAGGTATGATGGGCGGAAAGACTGCTCCTAGATCTATCTGCGCACAGGGAGAATGCTGCACGACGCGCAGGCTGGGTAGTGCACGTCAGTCATGAGTGGGGGAGATAGGAAAGCGATTTGGGGTGCCGGGAAGTAGAAGCAGCCAGGGAAGGGAGGGCAAGGGGGGTCCGGAACACATTCGAACGCGTCAGCAACCCAGTCATGGCCAGTCACAAGCTTCGTAGTCCGCAACGCTGGGTGCCGTGGGATTTCCGGGGCCAGGGCCAGGCTGGCATGGAAGACCAGCGACGGCCCTGGGATCTGCCGACATGTCTCTTGCGACGGACCGTGGTCTCAGCCAGCAAACCTCCCAATACTGCTAGCATGGCCAGAACGAGGTTAGCGAGGTCGGGATCTGGACACGCACTACGGCTCTGCTCGGAAGCTGGCTCGGAAGCTGACTGGGCGGCTCCCAGGAGTGCACGAGTGATGATGACCCAGCAGTGCCTTCTGAACCTGCTCGCCGGCGAAAGCGGCGCGGTGCAGCTTGACAACGCCGACGCATAATCTGGTCGATGAGTACTTCAAGGTGTGGGTTCTGGGAGCGGTGCTCTTCACAGCCTCGAACGCGGAGCAACGAGGCACAGAGGGCTCGGCCGCGTTTCAGACAGTGACCGATCGCAGGCCACCCCTTCTGTGCCTCCCCCTCATCCTTCCCACTCCGTTTTCCTCGGGCCCGTAATCGTCTCGCAGCAGCGGTAAGGGGCACAGCGGTACAGCGGTACAGCGGATCCGATGCTGGGACCAGTGCGAGCACGTTGCACCGCGCGCCGCAACAGCTACAGCGACCGCGCAGACAAAGAGTTCAGGCAAAATTCCGATCGAGCCGCGGAACAGCCTTCCGCCGTTACGTAAAGCCCCTGCCTTTGCGGCTCTTCCGCCGGATCGGATCCGCACGACTTTGAGCCCCGCATTCGTCACCGCCAGCGAATAGACGGCGACCAACCAGCACGCCAGCGCCGACAAACGCACGGCTGGCGAATGAGCGCTACGCATTCTGGAGTTCCGGCGCCGCATCCCGCATCCCGGCGGTACTGGCGTACCGGCGGCACGGTACGACTTCGGCGATGCTTCGGCGCAATGTCGGGATAAATTCTGGCACTGCCCGTATCGTTCGATGGGAACGAGACGTCCACCGCCAGCCTACCCGTGCTAAGATGGCCAAGGTGTCCGAAGCGCATGAGGCGGGGCGCTAATGCGTTCATCCGTGGGCTAACCGCAGCCTAAGCAGAGCTCCACAGCCTAGAGAAACCAGGTGATCAGACCAGCACGCATGGGCTGCTCGTGGTTGAGTCCAGTGCAGACCAACATCAGCCTACTGCCAGGCCAGCGGAGTCGAACCGGTCCAGACCTGTGGGGTAGCGCCAGGCAGGAGAATGGGTGGCGCCGTGCGGAGGAGAGCTAGGACGGATGGAACGGAGGCACCTGATGGTGCGGATATGGCGGTTCATGCCGGCCTATGGCGGAGGGCGGGCCGCGAACCGACGCTGCCGAGCCGTCGGAGTTAGGCAGCCCTGGACCAACGATGATAGCCGCGTGGCCACATCTTGCTCGGCATGTGCTACGCACGGCGGTCGGTGCACGGAGACGGTCCGAGACGGAGATGGATATTGCAGCCCTAGTCCACGGGGACACACGCTTGCCGGCCGCCTGTTCACATGGCCGACGGGGATAGTCATGAGCGGCATCCGTGTGCAACGCCTGCCCGGGGTAGTGATCGCACTGCACCTGTGAACGATCAGCGACTGTGCGCCATTCGTGACAGAAATCTCCGACGAGGTGACTCCCTGCGCCCTACCGTAGCCGACGAGCTGAGCTCGGGGCTGTTCCAGGGGTCGACTGACGGCGGGCAAACGTTCATCGGGCTAGTGACCAATGGTCTGGCAGCCAGAGCGCAACATCCGGCGCAGGGACCTCTTCGACTGACGATACGGCCAAGAGGGGCTGCTACGATCAAAGGCCGTAACATGACAGTCACTGACACATTGACCTCGCCTCCGTGCTCGACGGTACTCACTTCAACAGGTCGTTGGGCAGCGTTACGTCGTCAAGCGCATTGGTCGCCAGGCAATGAAAGGAGCATGGGGTCAACGGCACTGGAGCCCCGGTTGCCCATTGAGGGGGCGATCAGCGATGATCAGCGGGCTGCCCGTGTCCAGACTGCGGTCAGTCCGTCATCGGCCCTCGGGTCGTCGGCGTCATCACTGCCAGGGTCGCCGGCGTCGATCTTGGGCAGGGAAAGCTGAGCTTAGTGTTCTTCAGTATGGTTAATGGGAATAAGTCCAACTGAGAAGTTCCGCGGGGGGGCTGAATGTCAGTGTATTGGTCCAGCGCTGCGCAGCAATGACCCAGAAAGTGTGAATCTCGCAGTCCGAGTGAACTTTGGGCAGCCGAGTGGAATTGTGTGACGCAACGCGGGGTAGAGCTGGAATCTGTGTCCGCACGTTGATACGCCCCGCGCTCGTTCCTCCATCTGCCCCTCGTTCCTACTTGTCACTTCCACACCCTCCACACCCTTTACCGACGCACACGGACACGCATATGCACGGCCAAGAGCGGTGAATACCCCAAGCGAACGACGTCTTCCCATGCTTGTTGTCGAATCACAGCTTGGTATCGAACAACGATGGTGACAGTTGAAAACGTTGCAGTCATCAAGTCGTCGCATGCCAAGACTTCGGGTTCGTCTATTCGCTGCAGACGAGCGAACACGAGCGGTCGAGCGGATATCTGCGCTATTCGGATTGGCAAGGCTCCTGAGCAGACACCTGAAGACCTAAGCTCCTAAGACCTGGGCCGGTCCTGGATTTCTTGCCGCCCCCGCTCGGGGCCCTCTTCGCTACCTATCCCTTCCGTGCTGAGCCCTGGTGCCCCCGTGACTGATATTTTGAGTTCGCATTCAGGTAACTGATTATGATATTGATCCGTTCGTCCAACCAGCTACGAGAAATCAATGGGGAATGAACTGGATCCACGGTACCGCTGATGCAACCAGGAGTCGACATGGTTATCGTGACTGGACAGTCTGGGACTCCACTTTGCTCTCGGCCTCTTCCCCGCCGGCCCACCTCTCACACTGTTTCATCTCATGCTCATCGCTCCACAACCTTGGCTCCGTCCACGCAGATAACACTTGGCACCGAGATCAGCTGAGAATGTCGCCGTCACTCACCGCAGTCACGTCGTTCTTCCTCTCCTCTGCGTTGACCATCGCACGACATGCATCTCAGGATAAGCTCAGTGATCGCGGCACGAGCTTGCGAGCACTGCAGGGCAGCGCTAGACCTGCGGCAGACGCGTCAGATATGCAAAACCTAGGCGCTGAACAGAAGTTGCAATGATGGCTGCAATTGCCCACCTTCTCGTGACTGCGACAACAACGTAAGCCGGCAACCCGGCACACGACCGGGCCGTTCCCCACCCAAAACTCTCACAACTCTTGCCAGCACGGCCATCACGGGGGACGAGCGAGGGGTACACGTTTGAATTCACGTGAAGGTGCCCGAGGCCGAAACGCCCAAGGCCAGCCAAGGGGTCAACCCAGCCTCCCCCGGTTGGCCCCACTAGGCGAGTCCTGAAAGGCTTGGCTCTTCGCCATCGTAGGGCTTGGCCTCACTATTCTGGTGGTCGTCGTGGCTTTCCATTCACTTCCCGTGGACACGAGCCCCCTCGAGCCCTCGCAAGCACGCGAAACAGGCGAGCAGCCAGGCGAGGCAATTGAGAACGTGACAACCCCCACCTGCCCCCCACCCCATCTGGACAGCTGCGATGGTGAACGCCTCGTTGACGCTGCCAACCCAACTCACAACGTTTCTTTTCCGAAAGTTGCGCCTCCCGCAGACGTCTGAACCGATCCTCGTGTAGCCTGTTCTAGCAAATCTCGTCTAGCCATACTTCCGGTTTTCTCCTGGAACCGTAGCCGCAAGAGCCGCAACTTTCCCCAGCTTTCCCCAACTTGCCCCGCAACGCCGCTGCCCCGCATCTTGCCCGTGATGGTGGCAAACGTTGGCAACAACCAACGACGTTGCACATCGTAGTATCTCGGGACGCCACCCGTTCCATGTAGCAGACGCCGAGAGTATCTCGCGAGTTTCTTGCCGGTGTCGACGCGATGCCCACGAATGCCACAGTGTCCGTTTCACACGAAGTGCGGCGCCGCCCAGCACGGGCCACGCTAAGATTATCTCGGCACAGTCAAGCCATGGATATCGTGGCATATCGTGGCATATCGTGGCTGCGGGGCTTAAACAGTGGGGATAGAGAGGTCGAACGAGGAATGCTGCTCCTGGCCGCTCGGCGCCATCGGCCATCGGTCGGGCGTATCGGCATCAGATAGATCGCAGAGGTGGCTATCGATGGCGTTCGTCTCCGAGAGTTGGCTGACGTTCCACGGCACGGCACGCGCAAAGCGGCTCGAAACGCGGGGCCAAGCTATACAGACTTGATCTGGGGTAAACAATGGCTGACTCGTGTCCGCGCTCCACGAACGGCCAGGTCCGCTATCGCGTCGCTCGCCAGTGGACAGCTGACCTCCAACTTCCAACGGACATCCTATCGCGTCCATGTCACTCAAACGGCCCGTTTTCGCATTCGAATCGCTCTACCATGCTCTATTGCAGTCTATCACTCTCTTCAGCTGCTTCCCCAGACGTAGCTGTTCACTTACTGGCATGCAGAATGCTGTCCCAGGTTTCGGCTAGGTCAGTTTAAGCACTTTAGTCGATGTCTTTGAAGACGAGATAAGTCTTGGCGGCTCGCCGATCCCGACGATGCCGCGCCAGCCGTGATGGCGGCTTGATGGAATGAAGGCGGTCGCCCAGACGCCCCACTTTCCCCCACCCTCTGGAGGTCGCGCAGCCTCCACCATGATCTGCAGTGGTGGTGGCAACTGCATGACTGTATTGAGATGGACGGTGATGGGATGACCGGGTCGTGCCCAGACTTTTGCATCCAGGGGAGGGTAGCCCAGTTCCAGTCGGCAGGTACGCGCCAGGCGTTGACCCATGGGAGATTAGGCTCGGCGATGGGTACGCCGGCAACAGCAATCGGTGCAGATCGACGAATCACAGCCGTGGAACCCGCTTTAACGCCCCTCAACCCGTGCCTCGCGGGCCCTGCTCCAGCCCGGCTGCCCTGCCGCGATCTCGTTCATCCTCGCGTGAGCGCTGCCCAGTCCAGGCAGTCGAGGCGCGAGGCCCAGAGCAAGCCTGGTGCCAAGACATTGGACCTGGAGGATGATGCAAGCCGAGTAAAGGCATGAGGCGTTGTTCGCTGCGCGCTGCGCGCTACCTGTTACATCCGGCCTGTCTTGGGTCGAGATCACACAATGCCTTTCCGTCCTACGCTCACAGATTCACTTTGACAGCGGTCCGACGTCCGCCTGCCGTCCAATCCTCCCCCTGCCTAGGTCTCGCGCCTGCTCTTGCCAGGAAAGAATAAGCGCATCCATAGCGACCTGCCCGCGGGGCCCGCAGACTGACCCTGCCCAACGGCGTCTCATTCCCCACCACCCCCGTTCGTCCTCAATGAGAATCGCCAGGTCGACCAGGTCTTGGCATCGCATACCTACGCCGCCTCCGCCCCTCCCTTCTGCCGTCCCCGTCCTTTTTGCACCTTTGCCTGTGCCGATGTATCGCTCTTGCCAATTCGCTGCCTCGCCTCGCGCCGACGCCTCGCTACAACTCGCCATGTCGCTACCCCACGTACCCCAGCCCGGGGAAGAGATCCCCCAGACTCTGCCCCAGACGTTTGCCCTTTCTGCCCTTTGTGGCCCCGGAAACGGACACAGGATACACAGGAAGATGGGCAGGGTACGACGCGAGGAGGCGACTCATCCGAGTCGCACACAGACACAGCCAGAAGCGCCAGAGTGGGTGAGAGTCGTGGCTTGCCGCTTACAGGCTGATCCTGTGGACCCGAACACAGACGACGCGGGGCGGGCGTTGCGAGAGCGAAGTGAATCGATCAGCCTGTCAGACCTGCAGACCTGTGACTGCACTCGTGGCCGCGCCAAGCCCTAGCGCATACAATCCCCCTGTACCTCAAACCGATCAGCTCTGCGCTCGCCAGCTCTCTCGATCCAGACACAGGTCCTCCAGATGCGCCATATATAACACGACGATAAGGTTGCCTTGTCTTCTCCACTCTTCCCCCAGCTCTCCTAGCTTCTTCTACTTCCTCCTCTCCTCTTCGGTAGATACCTAGACTAGACCACTCACCTTCTGTCATCGACAACTGGGAAGACAGCCGACGACAACCACTTCACCCCTTCTAGCCGCGACACCTACCACTCGCTTTTCTGCAGCCCACCATGTCTTACGACGACAAGTACCTCGGCGACGAGAAGCGTCTTGAGGAGCAGGTCGACTACGTTGTCGACCCCGCCAAGGACATCTCGCAGTCGGATATCGACCGTGACCTCGAGTCGGCCGGCATCAACGAGAAGAAGCTTCTGCGCAAGATGTGAGTGCTCCTCCCCTCTCCATCGCCTTGTCACCTTCCTTTGCGCCTGACCTCCTACCGCTTCATCATATGTCGTCCCCTAGCGTGTGACTAACCTCGTGCTCAGCGACCTGCGCCTCGTCCCCTGGCTCGCGCTTCTGTACCTTCTCTCCTTCCTGGACCGTTCCAACATCGGAAACGCGAACCTGTTCGGCCTCTCGAAGCACCTCAAGCTCAATGACGCCCAGTACTCGATCTGTCTCGCCATCTTCTTCGTCTTCTATGTCCTGTTCGAAGGTGAGTAGCCCGCCCTTGCACAGCTGACGACGATCAGTTCCCTCCAACATGGTCATGAAGGCCTGGCGCCCGGCGATGTGGCTCCCCATCATCATGCTTGCCTGGGGTATCGTCATGGTCGGCATGGGTTTCGTCCAGAACTTTGCTGGTCTCTTCGTTGCGCGCTTATTCCTCGGTATGACTGAGGCTGGTCTCTTCCCTGGTGTCTCGTTCTACCTTACCCAGTGGTACACCAAGTACGAGATCTCGTGGCGCATCTCCCTCTTCTTCTCGGCGGCTACTGCTGCTGGCGCTTTCGGCGGTCTCCTCGCTCGTCTTATCAACCTCATGGACGGCGCTGCCGGATACGAGGGCTGGGTGAGTACAATGTCCACGACGTCTTGTCAGTGTCGCTAACAAGTAAGCGCTGGATCTTCATCCTCGAGGGTATCCTCACTGTCGTCGTCGCCGTCGCCTCCTTCTTTGTCATGCACGACTACCCCGGCACGGCCAAGTTCCTGAACCCTGCCGAGCGTATGTACGTCCAGAACCGCCTGCACGTCGACAACGATGGATGCTCGCACGAGTTCAAGCGCAAGTTTGTCTTTGACGCCTTCACCGACTGGAAGGTCTGGTGCTTCGCCATCATGTTCCACGGCGCTCTCTGCCCCGTCTACACCTTCTCCCTGTTCTCGCCCACCCTCGTCGCCAACCTTGGCTACGCCGCCGCTCGCGCCCAGCTCATGTCGGTCCCGCCCTACGTTGCTGCTGCCATTGTGACCCTGACCGTCGGCTACCTCTCGGACAAGTGGCAGCGCCGCGCTCCCCTCGTCATCGGCTGCTCGATCATGTCTGGTCTCGGCTACGGTCTCCTCCTCGCTGATGTCACCAACGGCGTCAACTACTTCGCTCTCTTCCTTGCCGCCATGGGCGTCTACCCTCTCGTTCCCATCATTGTCGCCTGGGGCTCGAACAACTGCGGCGGCTCGCTCAAGAAGGGTGTCGCGACTGCCATTGTCGTCTCGATCGGAAACCTCGGCGGTATCGTCTCGTCCTTTATCTACCCCTCGGCCGACAAGCCCAAGTACACCAAGGGTCACGCCTTGTGCCTCGCGTACTGCGCTATCACCGCCCTGTGCGCGGTCATCATGTGGGTCTACGCCGTTGCCGCCAACAAGAAGCGTGCCGCCCGCAACGCCGCCCGCGGCCGCGACTGGACCCCCGAGGAGAAGAAGGAGCTCGAGGACCGCGGCGACCACAACGACTGGTTCGTCTACACCATCTAAGTTAGGCAACACTCTCTTTCTTCAAGGGTTCTTGGGGAGAACAGGGCAAGGTCAAAGCCCCGCCCCCAAGGTTGTACATACAAACAAACCAATCACCACGATCATTTCCAGCATCCCACCTCCCTTTTCCGTGTGTTTAACGAAATCAAAGTAAAAATCTAGGTCATCAGTACCGGAGTCGGTCTAGTAGCGCCGCCGGTCAGTAGTTGTGCAGTAGAGAGGAGACAGTAGCAGTTAGCGAGAAGACGTTGGTAGAACACTCCGGTTCTCATGCACATAAGTTGTCATTGCCACCGCTGCATTTCACTTACTCTCGAACATTCATCTTCGATAGGGTTTTGACTCGTACCTTTGACCGCTGCGCTTGGCTCACCATGGCGAAGCTGGGACTTAGTCGCGAGAGCAGGCCAGTCCGCGAGTAAGCTGTGAGCCCAAGTCAGGCGAGCGCTTAGTGTGAGCCGTCCGGTAGCCCGTCGGCACAGGGCGCAATGAGGGCACAAGACTGCGACGGACAGCGATAAGAACGTGCGACGCTCAGAGGTCACTAGTGATCTAGTGAGATCCGCCCGGTATCGATCGTATCGTGCTTGGAGTCGCAGCCGATCCAACGATCCAACAAATGAGATCTGGGTGCGACGTCGAGACGGCAGAAGAGGATCGCGCGATCGCGCTAAAGGAGCCACGGGGTGTGACACGGGTGAAGGGGCAGATCTGGTTCTATTTGCGGTCGCTGGGCACATCATGTGAGACGGGGGTGGTGTGAGACGGATGCGAAGCGATGCTCGTAGAGGGCGCAGTGGTCGCGCGGGGCGTGAAGCGTTGGGCGATGAAGCGATGGCGCGACGGTCGAGGGCGCATGGGGGCCGGCCTGGCTGGACCGCCTAGGGGTCGAGGGGTCCGTTGATAAGGAGGTGCTTGATCGACACTAGGCATGATTCTCTCACCCCTTGACATCACACTGCGACTCGGAGAGTCGATGCGGTCTGAGCTGAGTCAGATTGCCAGGGGTCGAGGCTCTTGATACGAGGCCACGAGGCATGTGGTCTAGACCAGCCTTGGCCCGCCTGGCGCGCCTGGCATGTCAGCTCGACAGTCCCGGCTCGTGAGTCCTCGAAGTGAGGCATAGTGAGGCCAGCCTGTCGAGGTTAGGCGCACTAGTCTGTCAGCCCCGTTGATGATGATGAGGCAGGCAGGCGCGAGAAACACTCATACACCAGCGAGGTGGTGGAGGTCAGATACCGCAAGCCCCAGCCGGGAGGGCACAAGGGCAAAGGACGAATGGACGACTACGTCTGTTCCTCCGATGTCCAACAACGGTGATATGGTGATAGACTTGAGCGACCGGGCTGTAGAGTTTGTTGTCTGTCTGTTGTGTCTGCTGTTAGGCAATGCCTCCCTGGTGGGCCGCGGCATAGGCCGCCACAGTGATGTCGGTCTTGTGCGAGCGAGGCGGCGTCTTCCTTCCCGTCGGGTTACAGTCGAGTCATCGTAGCTTGTAGCCTTGTAGCCGAGTCATTTCATGGCCGCCTGAGACTCGGGCTTCCGAGTGCCTGCTGCAGTTCGTGTCGAAAAGCGAGGAGCAGGTCGCAGTGCTCGGGCGTATGCGGGTCGTCTGTCGTTGTACGGTTGGTGCCACGGTTCAAGTTGCCCGCCTGTCGTGGTGTTGCGTCGTCACCCTACTCATAGGTAGTCGCAGGTGAAGGCTAGGATGTGATCACGCAGGCATTGCTCAACGGGGCATGGGTTCAATGTGGCTCGTCGCAGTAGAGCATGGTCATAAAGCAAGAATAGCAGCAAGCCAAGAACAGACGAGGGAGGGCGGGCGACTCACCTACCCCGAGTTATATATCTAGTCACCGCAACGCTCCGCAGGGATGGTCCAAGTCCGGTGACACATCCCACTTGCCCGCCGTACCGCTGTCCGCCGTAACCGGCGGCTCTGGCTTTGCTTGGCCCAAATTCCCCACAGAGCCCCGCACACATGACCCCCTTGTCTCCTTCCTTGTGTTGTTCCTCTGTTCCTTCTTCTTCTCCTCCTCCTCTCCCTCTTGTCCCTCTTGTCCCTGTCGCCCCTTCGCTTGTCGTGCATGCAAGCAGCGCCAGGCAGTCGAGGAAGCAGGTTTCCTCTGGGATCGTGCGGCAGAGAAAGCCGGTGGAGGCTCTCGTCTGAAGCCCAGGAGGCAAGGAGAGGGGACAGGAACATCCCCCGCGCGCGGGCGGGCATGTCTGCGACGAAAGAACGACGATCCTCTGCTGCTCGGCTGGAATGGCCACTTTTGAACCTCCGACTCGGAGAGTCAAGCGGAACACATGACCTCGCCTTGTAACTTGACCTGACTCATTCCAAAGCCGGTATGTCCGGCCGGACCGGCCGAGTCGGCCCACTGCGCACGAGGACAGCAAGCTTTGCATGTTACGGGGTTGGCGTTTGAATGCCGGTCCTCTCCCTTCCAAGGCTTCCTCCGGTCCATCTAGATTCCACCGATCCCACCGATGCCAACCGGATTAGCGATACCGGGGTCTTTAGATACCGACATACGCGAGCTTTTCTGGCTGGAGGGCTGGAGAGCTCGTGGGGACGCACCAACACCTATGCCAAGACGAGCTGGGCGTGATCAAGTTGTTCCGCCTGCGTCGATGTGGGCTATACCACGAACTGCCAAGCACGGCGTCGATCCTGTCGATGTTGATGATCCGCGGAATCTGACAACACGGCTGGTGGGTTGGTCGAGCTGAGTCACCAACCGGCTATGACATGGCCTGGACTCTGCAGCGGCTCCCACCACCACAGCTCGACCCGCTTGCCATTGAATGCCCTCGGCATTCCAGATTCCGCGACACTGCGACTCGCACCCGCTCATCCTACTCCGCTGCACCAACGTTTTGTCCACTCAAGATTCATGACATGACCATAACACTCTAACTACAACACGAATGAGAAAGCGAAGGGGGAAGGGGCGGGGGAGGTGAGTGCGAATTGTTCACTCTTTTTAGTTGGGGACGATAGGGGAGATGTCGCTAGATCGTCTATGGCACAAGAGGCACCTCGCGAGGTACCGCTATTACTCTTCGAAATCTCACGACAGATGGGAATGGGAAGAGGGTGAGGAGGGTGGTGGGATGTGATTAAAGACCATGATTTTGGAAAGCCCATGACTGTGATGAAAATGCCCGTTGAAATGTCCGAGTTGCTGATATGCCGTTGTCTGTTGCTACACTTGATTGTCGTCGTGCCTCGTAGCGTACACTGTCACGTTCTTAGATCAACGCACTCTACACGTCGAGAGGTTCCGTGTTGGCGAAAAGGACAGCGTCGCGGCCGCGCTGCACCGGCGCCATTTTGGGCGCAGCGGCCGGTCGGGCGGCGGCGGCGGGAGTAGCAGCAGCGTTCTGCGGCTGGGCAGTGGCAGCGGTGCGCTGCACACCACCAGCTGTCGGCTGCGCCGGCTTCGTGGGCCAGGTGCCCATCCTCGGTCCGGTCGCGGCAGCGTTCGTGGCGGCGGTAGTGGTCGTGGCAGCCGTCGCGCGGTGATTGGGAACATTGTACGGGGCGGCGTGCTGGCGCGCATTCTGGTTGGGGCGGTCACGCTTCGGCGGCGGCGGCAGCGACGGGGGATGCGGGTGGGTACCGTTCTGAAGCATGCGCAGACCGTACTGTCCGTGCTCGCCAGAGTTCAGGTAGTGGTACTTGAGGCCGTTCATCTGGCGGTAACGCTTCGTGCAACCGGCACCGACGGCGCACACGTACGGGCGCGAACGCTCCTCGGCCTCCTCGAGCGTGAGACCGTGGTCGATCGCGTCGTGGATAGCAAAGTCGCACTGACTGTAAATGTTAGCTAGAGTACGAGCGACTAGCAGCTTTGACTCACCCCTTCTGCAAGTGGTACTTGAGACCGTTGGACTGCTTGTAGGCCTTGTTGCAGCCAGGGTTCGGGCATCGCCACGCCTTGTGGGTCGTGAACAGACTCGGCGGCGGAAGGTGAGGCTCAGCGGGCTTGGGGCGGTCACCGCCAGCGGCATTGGCGTCCTTTCCGTTCGCGTCCTTCTTGTCGTCCCCGCCGGCGGGAGCAGGTGCCGCGGTAGTGGTGGCGGCAGGGTTGATGGTCCCGTCGCGACCGTTCTGGCGGCCAAGCGGCGGGGCAGGCGGGATACCCATAGCCGCAGCGGCAGTGAACAGCACACCAGGAGCAACGGCGGTGGGTCCAGGAGGCTGGGTAGTGTCCTCGGGAGCTCCGGGCTTGTTCCCCGAGACAACCTCGTTGAAGGCGCGCTCCAGGCGCTGGTTGCCCGTCCTCTGAGGCTCGCTCAGGAAGGCGCTGCGCGAGGCAGCAGTGATCTTGGGAGGGGCATGGAAGGGCGGAGACGGGTTCGCAGAAGCCGTGGGAGTCGGGAGGTTGTCGGGCGAGGAGGAAGTCGTCGAGGGCATGAGAGTAGGCAGGTTGACCTCGTTCTCGGTGGGTGGCGATTTGAGCATGTCAGAGAACGACAGGGCGAAGCCCTTGCCCTTCTGAGCAGTGAGAGCGTCGGGGCGAACAGCAGTAGTGCCGTTCGTGTTAGTGGTCGTGGGAGTCAGGGGGTAATTGGGAACGGGGCAGGGGGAAGTCGTCGACCTCGTCGAGTTCGTTCCCGAGGGCGCAGCGGCGTCCGTGTCGGGCTCGAGCTCGAGGTCCATGGCCATCATCGGAGAGAATCCGAGATCAATGGCGTTTTGAGCAGAGTTATTAGCGCTGCTGGTATTTTGGTTCTCGACACCATAGGGGTGCTGATCCTCGACATGCTCAAGGAGAGCGTGCAATCCGCTGTGCTTGATGCCACAACATTCGTACTCCTTGGTGAGCTCGGCGTCCGAGCGCATGGCCATCATGTCGTGAATCTGGCCTCTTGAGTAGGAACGGCCCATAGAGCCTAATCCGGACAGGGACGCAAGCGACGTCGAGAGGTTGGCCGTGCTGTAGTCCCGGCCGGCAACAGCCGCCGCGTAGGAGCGGCCCCGGTACGAGGAGCCGCCGAGACCAAAGGCAGAGCCGGAGGCGGCGAATGATCCGAAATCCATGCTAACGGAAGTTGAGAACGGGATTTGAGTCGCGTCACTGTGGGGGCTATCAGTCACGGTTCCGGGACGAGCGGCAAACAGATGCACAGGCGCCCTCACGGGACACCCAGGTGTGCGCAAGTCCCATGTTTGTAGCATGGGTGCGCGGTCACTCACCTTCCCTCGCCGTAGAACCTAGCACCGTAGGAACCGGGAACATCTCCAGCGTTCTTTCCGTACGAGAAGCCGCCTCCTCCGTTCGTGAAGCTGACACCCGACATGGCCGCGCCAAAGCTCATGGGCGACGCGCCACCGCGTGAGTAGCTGGGGAGCCGGAGAGGGTGCTGGGAGGTCGACATCTTCCGCACTGGCCGGGACGGATTCGGCTGTGCGGAGATCGGTTGGGGGGTTGGAGCAGCTTGGGCTGCGCTCGGAGACATGGTGGTGAGGGCGGAGGGGGTTGGGATGGAGAAGAAAGGGAGGGTGCGCGCTGTCGAGGATGTGGGAGCAGCGTGCTGTGTGTTGTGGGACTGGTGTAGGTGGTGTTGGGCGGGTTTGTGTGTGGATCACCCGACTTTTGTGACCGGGCCTTGACGCAGGGTTAGCGGCGGCGGCGAGGGGTCGTTTTGATTGCTAAGGAGTTTGCGTATGTGTGTGTTGTTGATGGGTCGCGCGCGCTGGATGCGATGGTGAACAGGAGACTGTTGCGGCGGTGTCGCTTGGTGGAGTGCCGACGTATGTTATGTTACAAGGATGAGAAGGAAGACGGAGGAAGGAGAGAGTGGGATGGAGGAGAGTAGTGAATGGATGGAAATGAATGGTAGGATGGAGGAAGGCAGGGGCGGCAGGAGGCAGGGCCAGGGACTATTGGGACTGGGCCAAGTGTGGTAAACGGAGCGTGCGTGTGGTGAGCGGTGGTAGCGGTATATTGGTGCTGCACGGAGGGACGGGGGTTACGGGGGGGACGGGGGACGGGGACTGGACCGACTGGGGGGTGGCTCGTCTCGGATCCTAAGGCTGACTGGCGCACTCGGACTAGCATGACTGCATGAATCGATTGGTGGGTGCGACTCGGGACTCGCCCAAGAGCCATGAGCCACCGGCACCGCGGCAGCCTCCAAAGCACGGGCACGCCGCCAGCACCCCCCCGTCACTCCCCTCCACCGATCCACCGATCCACCACCACCCAGCTCACCTCACCTCCACTCACCTAAACGGGCGGCGGGGCTGGCCGGACTGACAACCTCAGCGTTCGCTGCGTCCGTAGTTTCCAGCGTGTGGTCGACCCAGGGTCAAGGGCAAGGAACCAGTCACAGCGACCAGTGCTGAGCGCCGTCTGCGCGACTTCTCGAGCCCCGACTGGCTGCTTTCGCCGCCACCGACAACTCTCCTGTGCGACTGACTCACCCTGCACATGCACGCCCTGCACGCCAGAGCGCCTCCTTCGTGTGCCCCTAGCCTGTGCGCACCCTCTCCTTGTGTGTACACCCTGTTCCATTGCCCTCACACACCCATTCTGTGCATTCTGTAACCTTGAGTGCGCTTGGCTCATCACCCGCAGTTCAGTGGGTGTTTGCCCATTGTGCGCGTGGGGGGTATGGTGTGAGCTAATGCACGACATCATCGTCTTGTCCGACCGGAAGAGGAGCAGGCGTATGCAGCCCAGTCCCTTCCACAGCCTCGAGCATGCTGCCGCTTCTCCGCCGCCGGCGTGCTTTTCCAACCAGGGCTACACAGGGCCGCGTGCGTACCTGTTCCCTGACCAGGGAGACCCTGGACAGCGTTGTCCTGAGATTAGTTAAGCCTAATTGGCTCGAGCTAAACGGTCCTAAAGCATCGGTATTCCATTTCCTCTTCTGCAACCCCCGCGACGAACTACAGATGCATTCAGATGCCCGCAGAATGCTGCACCCTCAACGCCTCGCAACGCCATCTCGCTGTCGCCCAAGCGAGGCTGCAAGAATGTCCGCCCGAATGCAGACAGCTGGGCAGGGCACGTGTACGCAGTGGCTCTTTGGTGAGTACTTGCTGGGAGTCACCGTTGGGATCTGGTAAGCAAGATACAATGTAAGACACGCCGTTCAACCGTTCAGAGGCAAAATAGAAAGACCCCGTCATCGCAGCCTGCCGTTTCTTCGCAGGCTTCGCAGTTGCGTTAAGGGCAGGTGGCAGTGGAGCATGCAGCTGTCTCAAACGCAGTAGCTTAACCCGTCCAGAGCCTGCCCAAAGCCTCGCCCGAGCCTGGATGAGGTAAGAAGCATGCCGGTCTGTCTGGGTACGCATACCTTCCTTCCGTCCCTCCCTCACCAGATCCCCCTTACCGTCAGCTGCACGTCCGCCAGGAGTCGGAAAAGGGATCTCCAAGCCCACCGAGCAACGCCAGCCGCAAACAGGTGCATGACTGGTCCAACGCAGTGGAAAACGGATGCCCAGGACGCTCGACCGAAGCCCACATCGCAGCCCACAGGGAGCGAAGGGCACGGAGGGTCGTCTGCTAATTCGGGCAAAGAGATGTGGGTGGGTGCCTGCATCATCCCTGGCGCCCAGCAAGTGGTGCTACCCTCTTTCGAGATCGGCTCGTCTTTTGAGGCCTTTGCAGTCTTCCTGATGGACAGAGTAGAAAGCAGGCCAATGGTGCGCGATCTGGGACGATCTCGCTCAGCGTCTCAGCGCTCCAGTCGTCTCGGTGACTTTTCCTTGCCAGGCTGGCTAGTGCTCGCACATGGCTGACGACGACAACGAAGCAGTGTTGTGTTGCGATTCAGCAGTGGATTAATGACTGAATTCGCCTTCTAGGAGCTGTTCACATTCGAGGCCAGCCTGCGCTCTCTGGCTTCTGGCCTTGTTCCATGTCCAGACATTACATTTGCCCACCCCCTCTGATCGCCTCGAGGCCACAGTACCATTTCAGGTGCTGCTGACTGATGTCTGTGCCAGCCGTGCCTTGCCGTTATGCTGCCCTCATGAGGCCCTCGTTAGCCCTCCGGGCCTGTACTGAAGTGCGGATTGAATGCACCTTATTCCGTCCGCCTGGAGTGCACAAGGGAATTCCCGCAATCCTGCCCCTCCTTTGGCCACCCAGCTCCACAGCTCAGCAGTCACGCTTAGCAAGTTGGGAGCTTGGAGCATTAGATTTCGAGCGATGATCAGGGCGCTCGCCCTTGCTGACCTGCCAAATGCGCTAATCGAGATGGGTGGGCATGGCACGCTTTGGGCACGCTTCATGCTGCGGACGCGCGGGGAAGGAAGGTATGACGGGATCACCGGGGTCCACTGATGGATCGCAGTGAGTGCGGAGTATGCGGAGCAGACGGAGCTCGTACATGCGGCAGAGGTGAATCGCGATGACGTTGGTGGCCACCACCCTCACCCTCTTCAGCTGAGAGGCGCCAGTCAGCCCTTGGCCCACTCCGATCTTGCCCCAGCCACAGCCACTGCATCCGACCCGGAAGACCTGGAACCCTCTCTGGTCTGGGCTGCGACTGCCCGAGCAGCAGCAGCATCGATAACCAGTCGGATGCAATGTTCCAAGTGGCACTCTGCGGTTACGGATCTGACGGGTCCTGAGTGATTCTCCGACCCCTTCGAAATCTCTCCAGCCGGCCATCAGGCGTATTTCACCGATATCTGACTGCCAAGCTGTGAATCTGCCGTGCCGAAGACAAAGCTGAGATCCAATCCGCCGACGAGCCACAAATTGCCAGGAGCTAAGCGCTGGCCTGCATCTGTGACATGACCACTGCTCACTCTACACTCGTAGCTGGCTATGTTTACATGATGTTCCACAACACCCTCCAGTCCGCGGATGCCCTCAAAAGTCTACGGAGTCTACGGGGGCTACGGAGACTAACGGCGCTGCTGTTCCTTGTTCCTCCCAAAGCTTCCCATTCCCATTCCCATGTCGGGCGTACCTGGACGCGCTTACGCGCCCACGTCCCCTCGCTCTTTTGCTCAGCACCCGACATTGACGCCCGAAGAAGTCACGGCCGGACCTAGAGAACACAACAGTGAGCCTCGGTCACCTTCGGCTGCGTTCTGACGGCGCTTGCCGCCCACTCGCACCGTACGAGCATGGCGGTGTGCCGTCGTGCAGCGCAGTCTGGAGTGCGACTAGATCTCGTCGTCCTCCTCGTCGTCGGACCAGTCCATGCCCATGCCCAAGTCCGCGCCCTCTCCCTCATGCGCATACGGGAGGGGCACGGCGCCGCGCTCGCTCTTCTGCCGATCCGTCAGAGACAGATTGAAGGGCAAGTTCAAATCGGCGTGTGTCGTCGTCCGCTTCTCCTCAGCCAGGAGCTTGAAGCTCGCCACCTGCTCCAGCGGCATGGGCTTGCCCGCCGTGTATCCCTCGACAGCGCGCACAATGGCCTTAGCTCCGCCCGTAGCCTTGCGGATCAGGATCTGCACAGCGTACGAGGAAGGTTCGCCCACTTCGAGTCCCGAGCCGGCGAGAGCGAGGGTGTCGCCTGAGAAACGGTCGAGGAGGGAGAAGAAGCGCGGATCCTCGGGTGTCAGAAGTAGCCGCTGGGCCATGGCCTCGACCGCGCGGGGGTTGTGGGGTGTGATAAGGATTAGGCCGGGCGAGAGCGAGGCGGGAGTAACAAGGGGGAGGAAGCGCGAGTCACGCGGCAGGGAGAGAATAAGGCGTCCCGGCTTTGAGGCGTTGACAGCAGCAAGGATGGAGCGGAGAGAACGAAGGACGGCGTATGGTGTGTGATCCTCGGCTAGGATGTCGACGGCGTCGATGTAGATCTGCGCTTTCGGGGGCAGCTTGGAGCCTGCTGTCAGCTTCAAGGAGTATGCCACGAGCTCACAGAGATCACGTATCCTTGCTCCAAGTTCTGGGGTCTCTCCATATCCGGGGGCAGCATTCAAATCAACAACAACATCGGCATTGGGATAGGCGCTTGGCGGCCGGAGCACGGCGACAACAACGGACGGTTGTCCTCTGGATGTCAGTTCGGGCCCAGAAGCTGCAACTCACCGTCGCTTGCCCCGCGCCAGGAGCTCGGAGACCAGCGGCCGCGCAGGCGCACTGAGGCTGTCCAGAACAATCACCAATGGCGATACCGGAACGGCGGTGTTGTCAAGCACCGTAGTTAGCGTGCTCATGTCGAGGATGGGTTGTTGTCGAGCGCTGAAAGTGGAGGAGAGGTGAAGTGGAGGTGTTCAGCTTGAAAGTCTGGGCAGATGAAACATCCGGAATTTATCCGCGGCACCTGTCGACCAGCTCTGAAGGCTCTGCTCGTGCAGACGGCAACCTTACGTGCATATCCTGTTATCCTTCGATACGGGGAGTCACGGGCATAGTCTCCAGTCATCTGAAGCAGGGATAGCGCCCACGCTATCACCGATGTCTGTCTGACGCCGTTTCGTTACAGTGCTATCGACGGCTCACCGCCCGCTGCCCTCTCCATGAACTCCCACACCTCCGCACGATGCATCTCATCCTGGGCCCACTTCCCCGGGTCGACATGCGCGAAATTCTTGTCCAGAAGTCTGCCTTGACCAATGCGCTCCGCTTCCTCGGGGAACATAGCGACCTGACGTCAGCTTTGGACTTGACTAGAGCAGCTGTGCCCAGAGGGGTACTCACGAAGACCGGCACGTCAGCATAGTCGTCAGGTTCGACCGCCGCCGGCGCCATAATCGCGATGCGCCTTGCTATACCAATTGGGAACGGCAGCTGCCCGTACAGAAACGTCTCGCTGGCCACGAGCCCCGGATTGAGGTGGAAGACCCGCTGGTGATAGCGACCGTTCTGCTCGAGGGTGCAGGCATCCATGACGCTTGAGTCACGCAACATCTGCGCCGCGAACACGGACATGCGTGTCCACGCTGTCTTCTCCCACAGCGCTAATGAAAAGTCGTTGGCCGAAAGGTCGTCCATCGTCCAGCCTGGGTTGCCGACACTGATGATCACGCCGTCGGGGGCCATGGCGTTCGCGCTCACAAGCAGGTGCGAGATGACGAAACGGGATATGACCTGGACGGCGAAGCCGGTGCAATCCCTGGTTGTCAGTTCCCCTGGTGTATCCAGACAACTAACCCGTCCTCGTTCAGAATAACACTCCCCCGCCTCGGACCGTTCTGGCACATGACCTAGCATCAGCCCGCTATTGATGAGAACGCACGAGGTAATCGATCTTCGCGTCGTCAAGGCAGGTCAAGATGTCCGCCGCGCAGGCTCTCATCTGCTCTCGGGTCCTGAGAGTCAGTTCCGCAGTGACGAAGAAACTTACGAGACGTCCTTCTGTATGAAGCTCACTGCTGGCTCGGAACCTTTTGGAGCGTAACAGGAGCATATCTGGGCGACGTCGTGTCCGCGCTGTGCGTCCCTCCCCACGATGATGATTCGGGTAGCCAGTCCCCGAAGGGCGAACTTGCGTGCCGTTGCAGCTCCAATGCCGGACGTACCGCCAATGACCACGAGCGTCTTGTTCTCACCGAAGCGTAGGGGCTTGACCTTGTCGAGGGCCGCGCTTATCTCACGCCGCTGCATGTTGCTGTCGCACGCTGTTATTGTCTCAGTAGAAATGGGCCGCAAATATCACAGCGGTGAGTCATGTATAAAGGGTACAGTAGCATGCTGCCGAGAGGGAAGATGCTGACGACTTGCGCCGGCGAGGATGGTCTATGCAGTGCTGTTGGTGAGGAATGCAGGACGACATTCGCTTCAGGTGAATGTGAAGGGAGTAAGACGACAGACGAAGGTGCCAGTCCCGACGGCTGCTGCTCGCATGTTCGCGTTATCTGGGCGGGGTGCGCTGGTAGGATGCCGCACATCCGAGGTTTTCCCGCGGCTGACGCGGGTGCAGGACGACACGCGATAGTGGAGTCTATCTGCGGAGGGTGCGCCCCGAGCTGAGACACTCCGATGCACGTCGCCCGGACGTGCCTCAGCGCCTTTATCGTCCGCATACTCGCCGGTCTCTGTTTTCGACTGGCTCAGCACATTCTACACTCGACCACGTTCGGCCACTCAACACACTTCTGTCGTCCAATTCCAGACCGCCAGCTGGGCCGCTCTTCTACATATACACACAGCGTACACAGCACCCCCGCCTCTGCGCCCCCCCTTTCGCCATGGCGCCAGCTAAGATTGTTATTGACACTGAGTGAGTGGTTCCACAATGGCGAGGAAGACGGAGGAAGGCTCTTCCGTCCTTCCATTGCCAGCTAGTTAGCGCTTGATAGCTGACCTCAGCCCCGGGGTGGACGACGTTTTGGCGATTCTCTTCGCACTTGCATCGGTGCGTGTTGCTTGTCCAGCGGCAAATACCACGGGACCGCGGGACGCCGCCTGTAACACAGGGTGACTAACCCCAGCCAAACGTGCAGGTCGAGCTGATCTGCTCTGTCTTCGGTGAGCTCACCTTGTGAACTGCAAGAGCTGACGGGCAGGTAATGCGCAAGCTACGCACACATACGCGAACCTGATCAAGATGTACTATAACCTCTCGCTCGAGCTGGCTGCGAGCCCAGCTGCGCGGGAGCGTTTCAACACGGCGCACAGGCCTCTCGTCGCCGTCGGCGAGGACGGACCTATTGGTGGCGAGACACACGTTGCGACGTACTTCGTGAGCTGCGTATGGTAGTAGCGTTTAGCTGACGGACAGCACGGCAAGGACGGACTGTCGAACATCACGCAGACTGCGCCGCAGTTCTCGCCGCCCGAAGGCTTCGAGAGCGATCTCGTGCGCCAGTCGGACACGAAGGCTTACGAAGCCATTCTGGACCTGCTGGAGAAGGAGCCGGAACACAGCGTGACGATCGTCGCCATCGGACCTTGTGCGTAGCTAACTGAGGCTGTCTAAGCTGACAACAGTGACGAATGTGGCATGGGCGTACCGCCAGAACAAGGATGTGTTCAACCGCGTGAAGGAGGTGGTGTGGATGGGCGGCGCGCTGGATGTGCCGGGGAACACCTCCCCAGTGGCTGAGTTCAACTCGTTCGCGGACCCGTATGCCTTCGACCTGGTGCTCGAGGCCGTGAAGCGTGGCGAGTTCCGCCTCACCTTCGCTCCGCTAGACATCACGACGCCGCACAGTGTGCCCTTCCCCTCTCTCCTCTTCCCCGACGCGGACCCCAAGGACGAGCGTCTGAAGGCATTCACGACTGCCTTCCTGACGCGCGTGCGCGGCCTGCAGGCACAGTTCGGCAATCCCGACGCGATGGAGATGCACGACCCCCTCTCGATGTGGTACGCCGTCGAGAACGCGGGATGGCCGAACGGCGACCTAGCCCCAGGATGGGCCGTGACGCCGCGCGAGTTCACGATTGAGCGCAACGGCGAGCGCACGCGCGGCATGTGCGTCGTCGACCGGCGAGGGACGGGCGAGGGCACCGAGATCCGCACAGAGAACAAGGCGCTGCAGGAGCTATCGACGGCGGACGAGAAGAAGGTCGAGGCCAAGGGCAAGGACGCGATCCAGGACAAAACCAAGAAGCACCTCCCGTTCATGATCTCGAACACGCCGGGCGAGGAGGAGCTCGCCCGCCTCCTCCTCTATCGTGTCTGGGGCGTCAAGAAGTGAGGTATGGGCGCATCATGGCGCACCTGGTTCATATGGTGCAGATGGCTCAAGACACTTTGGCGCCGGTTAGCTGTTCCTGGCTGCGATCGCAGCACGAGTGACACCCGTAGATAATAGAAATGAAGAGGCATGTATGAAGTTCAGATCGTGACTGATCGTGATGGCTGGCTCCGAACCGAAGAGCGGCCGGAGCGAGGGGAAGCCAAGAGGCAAGGTACCTGTGTCGGTTCTTTGGTCAGCTGGGTCAGCGAGGCACCGGCGGCGCGTGGTCGGATCCGCTGGAATCAGAAACACGTCGAGCGCAAGTGAGCGGAAGTGACTAACTCGTTGAATTTAATGCCTTGCATCACGTCAATACCAGCTGGCTCTAATACTAAACCGTTACACACGGCCCAATCATACGAGTACGAGAGAAAGAGGAGGAGGAAAAGAAGAAAAAACTTGGGTGGGGGGTATATGTCCTAAAAATATACGTGTCGCGAGACTGGGATGAGATGGGCTGTGGATGTGGGGAAAGTGTTGCTTGGTGGATTGATGGAATGACTTGATTATTGTGGGCATTGCGAACGTCGCCAGTGTGGCGAGGCGTCGGTCCCTTCTTGTTGTCATGGTCGGATACCCTTGGCGGGCCTCGACCAGAAAGCCTGACAGCGATGCGGAAAGGCTTGTGCTTTGTGTCGCGTGATGGGTCGTGTGAGGTGTCGGATGCTAGATCGCTTAGATCCGGCCCATGCCGACCATACCAGCGACTGGCGGGCCGAGCTTGAGGACCTCTTCGAGAGCTGCCGCTCCATCGGACTTGTCCTTGCTATCGCTCTTCTGTTCCCGCTCCATCTGCTGCTGCTGGTTGCGCCGAGCCATCTCAAACTCGCCCTCGACGACAACGCCGTCGAGCCACTTGTGGTTGACGAGCTCTGCGGCAGTCGCACGCGAGTCCGGGTAGTAGTGCAGCATCGGTAGTAAGAACGATGACAGCAGCTCCGCCTCCTCGGCCTCCATCAGGTACTTCTCCTTCAGGACCGAGAGTAGCGGCCAGAATCGTAGTCTCTGGATGTGCCGCAGCTCGCCGCGGCGGTTGAACATGTCGTGCGAGTATTTTCCGGACAGCGCCAAGGACTTGGGCATCTCTCCGAGCAGCTCGATAATCTGTGCAAGATGGTCGTCATCCTTGTCGTACTTGCTTCCCGGCTGCGGGTCGAAAAGGTAGTCACCCGTGAGCAGCTCGAAGATCTAAGACGGTCAGTTACTGCACGTGCAAGTATGAGAGCCAAACTCACTAAGCACGCCGCGCTCCAGATATCCACACTCGGTCCCCATCGTGTTCCCAAAATGATCTCCGGGGCACGGTACTGGCGAGTCTGGATGTCGTTGGTAAAGTGATGGTCGACCCAGCAGGCGTTGCCCAAGTCGGCAATCTTGACCGTTATTCTCTCCAGGCTGACAGGGTCATAAGGGAACGGCGGGGGAAGAGTCGTGGGGTCACCAGCAGTCGGCGCCGGCAGGTGGTTGTCGTGGTTCTCATGCGCCTCGAAATCTTGGAGGTTGTTGAGGTGGCCGGCTCCGGATGTGCCGGTTTCGGTCCGTGTCGCAGACCCAGATTTCTGGGCCTCTGGAACGGCCTTGGGCGCAGCGGCTGCGGCCGAAGGGGAGGGGTCAGAGTGTGAGCCCGAGGACTGGACTGAGGTGGCAATTTTGTCCTCTTGGGCCGGATCGGGCGTTACCGAAGGCGTCGAGATAACAGTCTGTGCAGGGGTGCCGGTGTTCGAGGCACTGGCATTAACAGGGCCACTCGCCCCCGAACTGTTGGTAGAAGGCGTCGAGGTCTGCTCCGCGGGTGGCGGCTGGTTGATCTGCTGTGACAGCAGCGATGGTCCGTGCGGCTTGGCGTTGACAGGTGCAGGCTTTTTCTTCTCCCATGTGAGCTCGCTCTCGCCAGCTTCCAGCTTGACCTTGCCGATACCGTCACCGACTGAGTCCGCAGTCGCCTGCGACGGGTTGCAGGCGGGTGCGCTTTTGCCACCGACAGCAGCACCAGAGATCTTGCTCATTCCAAACCCATACTTGTCAAGCATGGGGCTACTAGAATAGCTTGAACTCGGGGAAGGCAACGGCTGGGATCCAACGATGAACATGCTTTCCTTGCGTGGCGTCTGGTTGCCCATTCGCCCTTGACTGGGCGGTACGCCGACGAGTTTCGTGGGAACAGCGGCGGGGCAGGAGGCCAGCTCGGCCTGAACAACGGATTCCACGTCCTCGATACAGATCAGCACATTCTCCGGCTTCAAGTCGGTGTGGATGATGCGACACTCCGTATGCAGATAGTCGAGACCAAGGAGGATCTGCTTCGCGATCTGTCGAACGATATGCGTCGGCACACCACGGTGCTGATACCGCTTGATAAGACCAAGCAGGTTTTCTCCCAACACCTCGAACACCATGCACACGTGAGATCCGTTGGGGCCCATGTGACGGAAATCATCGACCAGACCGACGACATGAGAACGACCCGGGTGGGACTCTGACGAATTGGTTACTCGCTGGAGGAGTTGAATCTCGTCCAATGCAGTTTCCGTATAATGGCCATCGGACTTGACGACCTTCAAGGCAACGTGACGCTTGGTCCTGATATTTGTCAGCTACTTGTAGCCGATATCTAAGGAGGTATGGTACAGAGAAAGGGACTCACATGTTATCTCTCGCAAGCCAAACGGTGGAGAAGTGACCCCAGCCGAGTTTACGGACGATCAGATAACGCCCATTGTTGAACTCATCTCCAATGTTGATAGAAGGATATCCACCAGGGCGATAGTCTTCAAGGTCTTCCTCATCCTCAGTGAGAACGGAAGTGGCGACGGAGGAGGGGCCCGTCGAAGTCGGCTGCGATTGGGGGGGCATGTTGGTCGCGGAAGTCGAAGTGCTCGCAGGCTGATAAACGTCAGCACTCATGCGCACTGAAGCAAGATATGAATGTGGGTGAAAGATTGGGCAGTGACCGTCACAAGAGTGGGTGGCGACGAGAGCGCCGGCATGAGATATGTTGGCTAACGTCGGCGGCGAGGGTTCACACGACGTGCTGGTGCCCGAAATGCCCCGGCGTGGATTCGACGGTCTAGCCGTGGCTGTCACCGCTAAGCGAAAATAGCAGGTGGTCTAAAGGTCGCGACGAGGTTCCATGCTTGCTTACGGGTCGGGATGAAGTGGATGTGGAACAGGTTATCGGTTTAGTACTCACCTTCACAGCCATAAGACGGAGGGGAAGGAGGTGGATGGATGGTGGAGCCGAAGGGGGCGCGGCGCGCGTGTGTGCTGATGATTAAGGGGATGCACGCGTATGAAGAGACGATAAGGGGTCGGCGGTCGGTGGGGAGGGGATTGTCGGTGTCTCGACTGTCGGATACGGACGCACGAAGTCGCGGTGTTGGACGTGTTATGTGCGTGTGACGGAATCGAGGTTACAGACACGAGTGGATGGATGAGAGAAGGAAGGAAGGCCAAGGTCCCAAAAGTGGGGTATGATGTTGACCTAGCCTGCGGGGTACCACCAAGTGGAGTCAAGTGTCAAAGCTCAGGAATATTGGAATCGAGCAATAGAAGTAGGAATTGAATATCCAAGCAGGTGGTGAGATTACAGTCGCTGACGTCGGTGGTTGTCGGTCGTTTGATCGTGCGTGCAGTCGACGGACAGATGAACGCCAAGCGGACTGCGGTGCGGAGTCTGGCGTTCGCGGCGGAAGGGGCAGGAGCGAACGGAACAGGAAGGCGGGGGTCAAAGTGTAGGTTAAGTGGTTGCTTCAGATAGAATATCGAGAGAGGAAAGGGTGAGGGTGATATCGTCAGGCGGCAGGGTGGGTGGGCGAATTCGGTGCGTTGGCGATTTGGCGTGCGGCGTACGACGGGGTGCAGTACAGTGCTCGCCTGATTGTTGGACAGTGATGTTCAAACGACTACTTCGTCTCAACGAAATGATACGAATACGTGCGGATGGGATTGTAATGCCGCAGTAAGGGCAAGCGAGGATAGTCCGGTTACTCTCCGATAAGCAGTCCTCTGTTCATCCGTACGCGCCTGAGTGTGAACGCTGCATCATTGACGCTTTTCGTTTCAAACGTATCAGTGCTTCATCACAGCTGCCATGCATCACAAGCTTCCCGCGGCCCCTTTACCGGAAGCTGAGGACAAGATTCGGAGACGTTGGAGGTCTACAGCTGGCTAGACCACTGAAGATGAACCCAGGTGCCGAGTCGGACGGAGCGGGAATGGCGAAGCGCACAGCCGAGAGAAACCGGCCAACTGGACCGAAGGCTCCGATGGCTGCCTGACGGGCCTGGTTCATTCGCTCAGCGGCTGAGTGGCTCAGTAATGGCTCGCTCGCTCGCTCGCTCGCTCAAGTCATTTCGCCCAATCTCGGGCCAACAAGCCCAATTAGCCCTGCGTCGAACGGCACTTAGAGTTTGCTAATCTGTTGCGAGAGTGCGTGCGCTCTGGGGTCTTTGCCAGCCGCCACAGCCCAGCGCCTGGGGCAGCTGGGGCCAGCGAGGCAGCGTGTCGTCGCACGCGCGACTGTTGGCTGCTGCATCCTGCACATCACTCCTAACGTCAATGGTCCTTAACGAGCGGTGGTGTTGTTGGTCGACGGCGGCCTCGGCCAATCGCGGCCAATCGCTTGCATCGAAAAGGAGGTGCCCTATAAGAGATTGAGTTTCTGCCCTGAGTGAACCTGACCAGGCCTGACCAGGCCCGAAATCGACGCTGCTGATTGGACTGGGCAGCCGTTCCTTGACCTGCCAATCTTGGTTCATTGTCTCCCTCTGGCGTGTCTTTGCAATCTCTCAGCCCTGGAGCCTCAGCCCTCGACGCCCCTCAGGAATTGCTTAGGGCCAGAAGCAAGCGGATCTTATGTCTCCGCTTACGCCCCTCGTTCATGTACGTATCACACCCTAGACTGGCAGCCTGCGGTCCCCTTGCATGGGGGCCGCCAGACGCGCCATGCGGCCATCCTACAAACGCGGCGGCGCCCTTCCTCTATCTCCAACAATCCGACGACCACAGCTGGTCCATCGTCTTTCAGATGTTGTAGCCAGTGCGGTGAGCAGGGCAAGTTATTCTGTCTATTTGCGTCCGACGAACATACCCGTGACCTCCAGCATGCCTCGTCGTACCCCTATAACAAGCTTATCCTCGGTATTCAATCGGGAGGTCTCATGAGATCCGACGGGGTAGTTATGACGCTACCCCGCCGTCAGTGCGCACACGCGCACGAGAACTCCCAGCTGCCAACCGCGCCGCAGACCGCAGACCCCGGCGAAACTCGATCCACCTCAACGTCATGCCTCCGTTCCTACCCTCGTACCCTCGCTGACCGAGGACATTACATCCTAGTAATGTCATGATGCAAGCGGACGGGCGGACGGACAGCGCAGGTGATCAAGCGAGCACATGTTCCATGACATCTGACTGCTGCGAGCACCTCAGGCCACAGAAACGAAGGCCGCCAGAAGAGGAAGGAGCAGACACGACATGGAATGCGCGCCACAAAATGCCAGCATATGATTGGCCCTACTTATCAGAGCATCGACACACAGACGTCTTGTTCAGATCTCCGTCACTTGCGAACAACAGCGAACCACTCAGATTCGAGCAGCGTATGCTTGAAACTACAGCGCAAGTCGCCGACTTCCGAACACGGAGCACAATCTAGACGATCTGCCGAAGCATTGAGACTGGCAGACAGAACGGCTAGAACGGGGGTGTACGTGAAAGAACGTTTAGAACATGATTTCAGGTATTGGACATGCAGTGCGATCGAGATAAGCCTGCCTCCCAGCAAGTTGCGGCACAGTGGACCCAAGCGTTCACGACCCGCTCAACACCCTGTGCGAACACCGCCGCGTCCCGAGCACCAGCTAAAACCTGCTGTACGTGCTAAGAAATGCCTCTGCTTCTCTGCATTGTCCCTGCTCCCTTAGAGCCGGTTCGACGTGTCGCCAGCGCCCAGCCTCGGCGCTTGAATACGTAACGTGAAACAGCAGACCTCCACCAGCAGACCTCCACATCTGGCGCGTAGATGTTTTCGATATTGGCACATCATCTTCAGCGAGTCAACTGTCTAGCATGCTTGTGAGTACCTACCCCCCCCCCTGGTTCCATCCATCCTGACATAACAGGTAGCCATCCAAGGATGCTGCCACGGTAGTCTTACAGCGATCTACGATTCTGTCGCCCAATTTGAGCAAGCGAAGAGCCGTAAGGTTGACCTCCTGCTCCTCTGTGGAGACTTCCAGGCTCTCCGATCGCGACATGACTTTGAGTCTCTCAACGTGCCGGCCAAGTTCAGGCAATTAGGAACGTTCCACGAGTACTACGCGGGGAAGCGAGTGGCGCCGGTGCTTACTATCGTGATCGGAGGCAACCACGAGGCGAGCAATTATATGTGGGAGCTGTACCACGGCGGATGGCTCGCTCCCAACATTTACTACCTCGGAGCGGCGGGAAGCGTCATGGTTAACGGCTTGCGGATATCGGGAGCCAGCGGGATCTTCAAGCCTCACGACTATGAGAAGGGTGAGAGTCAGGATGTGTACCTGATGGACTGACCTTCATAGGCCATTTCGAGCGCGTGCCCTACAACAACTCGATGCTGCGTAGCGTGTATCACATCCGCAAGTATGATGTTGGCAGGCTGATGCAGTTGGATCGGAAAAACCCTTGCGTCTTCCTGTCGCACGACTGGCCTATCACGATCGCAAAGCACGGCAACACTCAAAAGCTTTTGCAGCGAAAACCATTCTTCCGCGACGAGGTCAACCGCGACGCCCTCGGCTCGCCGCCTTTGCTCGACCTCCTGAAGAACTTGCAGCCCTCCCTCTGGTTTGCTGCCCACTTGCACGTCAAGTTCGCTGCTCTTTACGAACATCCAGCGGACGCTGCAGCTGCCACTTTGATCGTAGACGTCGCCGCTCCAGTCGCCAACCCCGACGAGATTGCCATCTCAGACGATGAGGACGAGGTTGAGACCGCTGTCGCTTCCGAAGTTCAGGTGGCGTCAGCAGAGAACCCGGACGAGATCACCATCAGTGATGAGGAGTTTGACGAGCCCGTCAAGCCGCCTGCTCCACCCCCAGAGGCGGTAGCCACCCCAGCCGCTGTCTTGTCGGTCGACGCGAATGGTGTTGCTTCAGCCGATCCGATACCCAACACGACAAAGTTCTTGGCTCTCGACAAGTGTGGAAAGGGCAAGGAGTTCATTCAAGTGAGTTCTCAGTTCCTCGCTCGCTAACTGGTGACAGTTTCTTGATATCCCCACACCTGAGCCTGTCGTCCCAGGTCAGCTAAAGTTTACTTTCGACCCGCAGTGGTTGGCTATCACCCGCGCACTGCAACCCTTCCTCAGTACCGACTTTTTCCAGCCTCCTTTGCCAGAGCCAGAAGTTGCAAAGGCAATGGTCGCGGATGAACTGCAGCGGATAGAACAGGAGGGTCTGCTTGTTCCGGGCCAATTGGGAGAGGCGGAGTTGGCCGAAGGGGCCGTGCCTCCTTTGGTCTGGGAGAAGGGACCGATCGACATCGGACGAGTGCAGCAGTTCTGGCCTACGGCTCCACCAGAGGGAGAGCCGGGAGGTTCGCCGAGTGCATGGTACACAAACCCGCAAACTGAAGCGTTCTGCGGCATGCTCGGCATCGAGAATAAGATCAACCCCCGACCTCAGTAGACTGTGAGGGCGGTGACCTGGCAGCCAGTCGTTTGTTTGTGTCTTGCGGCATTTACTTGCAGCATTCCTGATTCAAAAGGCAGTCACATTACGGCATTTATATTTCGCATTAGCAGACCAATTAGACACGGATGCATAATTTGATCCCGCTAGCTCCGGCGCGTGTGCTTTGTTGACGAGTTCCGGGAGCTGGAAACCGTCAACACACACGAGCTTAGCTACGTCGCACATTCTCCACCACTTGTCTGTCCTTACCACCTCTGTCGCGCCCCTCAGGCGCTGTTCGCTCTCTCTCGACCTCTTTTAGGATGCCACCTGCTGAGGCTGGCGCGAAGATCCTCGTAAGTCTTGCTCACGGCGCCGATGCCGCGGAAAGGACCTCAATTCATCGGCCCAGGGTGGCAAGTGCGCTAAGCTGACGGTGGTAGTGTCCGACACCTCATGCTCTGCAGATCGAACTAGACGCCCTCGCGACGGTTCTCGAACCAGATGAGAGGGAAGACACTTGGGAAAAGTTCGAGCGAGCGCTGATCCGCTTCGCCGCCATCACGCGAGGTGGAGGTTATAAACATCTCGAGTTGTATGTGCGAGGCGTAGGAAACAAGGGCGTCGGGCTGAGAATCGTGGATTGTGTAAGTACAGACGGGATGAGAAACGCAACGACTAACATGAACAGATGCTCTCGGACCGTGGAAGGTTGTCTGGAGTGTCCACAGATCTGTTGCAGACCTTCGCACCTCGCCTCGCCGCCCAATTCCACTCCCTCATTCACCTGTATCTCCCGCCCCTCGTCCGCCTTCTTGCCCGACCAAACAAGGTCTATCTCAAACGCGCCGAAAAATGTCTTCAAACCATTATCACCCACTGTCACTTGCCCAGCATACTCATCTACCTGCGCAATGGCCTCGATGACAAGAGCGACGCGTGCAAGCGTGCGTCCGCGGTCGGCGTCGAGCGTGCCGTGTTGGAATGGGATCGCGACATTTGGAACGAAAAGGGCTTGGACGTCCTCGAGCTGTGCATCCGCAAGATGGCGACGGACCGAGATGCTGACGTCCGCAAGACGGGCAAGCGGGTCTGGGCGCTGTTCATGGACATTTGGCCTGAGCGCATCGACGAGTCAGTACCCTAACCTCGTCTCGTCCATTCAGCCGATGTGACTCATGACGAGGGGGCTGAAGGATCGACACGCTGACGCAACGCAGTTTCTCCAACCCTCTGACGCCGACGATCCGCCGATACCTCGACATTCCAGCTGCGGATGGAGTGCCCTCGAAACCCAAAACGCGATCGACAACTCGGCCACTGCAAGCTGCTTTGCGAGCAGCCGCCTCGGCTCACGATCCTCCGGCCGCTTCTTCTACCAGCCACCTTGGCCGTGGTGAGGCAGCGCATGCGGGGCCCTCACGGCGGACTCGACTAGCGCGAGTGGCGTCCAACACGACGGACGAGGACGAGCACCATGCTCCGCCACCTCGCGCTCCCCTCAGCTCCCTCGGCCGGGCGACCCGCACGGTCTCCGCCTCTCAGACTCTTCAAAAGCAAACATCGGCATCCAGCCTTAACGACAAGCAAGAGTCTGCGCGTCACACTCTCCTGTCGAAGCCATCACGCACCCTCCCTCCGTCATCTTTCAACGACGGCGCGCGGCGGCAACCATTGCATAGAACGCAATCTCAGGAACTGCGTCGGCCACACTCGGCAGAGCCGGATCAAACACCGCGTCACCGCGACGATGCGCTGAGCTCGTCTTCACGCAGTTCAAGCACCCGCCGACAGCAGCCTTCTTCTCCCCGACGTCTCGGGAGGAGCGCGACATCGGCTCACGACAGCTCCGAGAATCTGCCAACCCTAGCTTCCTCATTCGCTCCTCCAGCCCCGATCCCTCCACCTGTTGGCCGGGTAAAGGCGCGTGTCAGTGACTTTGAGCGCATGGTGGGAGAGAGCACTCCTCCGGCCCGTGTCGCTGCGCGCGCCGAGGTCAAGGCCGTTGCTGCCATTCCTCTTCCTCCTTCCCCAACTGTCCGTCCCATCACTGTCAAGGACAGTCCGCCTTCACCGCGAGTCCAGCAGCGCTTCGCCCCACCCAAGAACCACAACCAGCTGACGGAATCTCCGTCGCTCTCCTCCCTTCTCCGCAAGACTGATGCGGCAGAGCCCGACATGAGTCTCCTGGACCTCTCCGTTGCGAACGTCAGCGTAGCCCAGTCGCCAGCTCCACGACGACCGGCGTCTACGAGCTCTCTGAAAGCGTCGAGCACTCCCAAGCCGGGCGTGACCGACCTTATCCAAAAGTTCTCTCCTCAGCAGATGCACACGCCACTGCGGCGGTCATCTATGGACAACCCCGGATCTGCAACTCCGACGCAAAAAGCAATGCGCCGGATCTCGCCGCTTCCCCGACGAAGCTTGTTATCGACGCCAGTTGACGATTCGTCCCCACCCCGCCTCGGAATGAAGCGCAAGGGCTCCGACCCCGAGATCGCCTTCCCGGAAGAGGTGCGGCCAGTCGAACGCGAGCCGCCGAAAGGGCCGCGCTTCTCGCAGCCTCTCATCGCATTCGGCGACTCGCCCGCGCGGGACACGTCGTTCGTGTTTGGCGGACTGGCGTCTGCATCATCGTACAGCAAGATGGGCATGCGGCGTGAGTCGACCCTGCACGATCTCATGAGTCTCGCAAACCCATCTGCCTTCGAGGTGTTGGCCACTCCAGCCAAGGCTCATGCCGCACTGCAGCCTGAAGCGCTGGTTGAGGAGGATGAGGGAGAGTCTCACGACGCCGACGTCACTCTGGGCCTGGTGGGCGGTGCCAACGCCGCTGCGCCCTTGGCTTGGAGCACATCGAGTGGGCCAGTCGAGGACCTGCTCGACATGGACGAGACGGCCATCCTGACCGCTGCCCCGGTCGATCTCGTGCCCGATCACCTCTCGCCAGTACTTTCGCGCGAACCTGATCCCATCACCACCACAAGTGTCGACTCCAACGACGACAACGCCAGTGAAGGAGACACTATCAGGGAGCCCGGCCCGCCGAAGGACGCGGAGCTTGAGGAACCGCAGAGCGCGGTGTCGGAGAACTCGGAGCCTGTCAAGGAGACTCAGTTCGATGAGCCTGTTGCTGGGCCTGAACGTGCCGAGCCTGAGTCTGACCGTGCCGAGCCTGAGCCTGAACATACCGAGCCTGAACGTGCTGAGCCTGAACATGCCGAGCCTGAACGTGCTGAGCCTGAACATGTCGAGCCTGAACGTGAGGAGCCGAAGCAGGTGACTGAACAGGCTGATGAGATCGCTCCGGTTGAGGAGAGCTCTGAGCCTCCGGTGCAGCCCCCGACCGCTGAACCTACAGTGCAACCCGCGATGTCCGCCTCTCCTATCGCACGGTGGTAGTGTCCGACACCTCATCCACAAGTGTCGACTCCAACGACGACAACGCCAGTGAAGGAGACACTATCAGGGAGCCCGGCCCGCCGAAGGACGCGGAGCTTGAGGAACCGCAGAGCGCGGTGTCGGAGAACTCGGAGCCTGTCAAGGAGACTCAGTTCGATGAGCCTGTTGCTGGGCCTGAACGTGCCGAGCCTGAGTCTGACCGTGCCGAGCCTGAGCCTGAACATACCGAGCCTGAACGTGCTGAGCCTGAACATGCCGAGCCTGAACGTGCTGAGCCTGAACATGTCGAGCCTGAACGTGAGGAGCCGAAGCAGGTGACTGAACAGGCTGATGAGATCGCTCCGGTTGAGGAGAGCTCTGAGCCTCCGGTGCAGCCCCCGACCGCTGAACCTACAGTGCAACCCGCGATGTCCGCCTCTCCTATCGCACGTCCGCCCGCCGTCATCTCGGTCTCCGTCGCACCACCGACCCCGCGATGCGTATCCGCCCCGGTGCCTTCCTTCATGCAGTTAGCTACCGACTCTGCGACTACGTCCTTGGAGGTGATCAGTGAGGCTGCATCTTCGGCCGCTGAGGAACCAGCTGCAGAGGCGGCCGCGGGGTCGGCTGAGTTCAAGGCCGGCGCCAAGCCAAACCCGCTGCAAACCTCTCAGCGGTCGGCTCTGGGCCCCCGCCGCCCTGCGAACGCGCCAATCCGCCCGGGGACTCGCACGGTATCGCATCCTATCGAGAAGAAGTCCTTCCGCCCTGTCTCAAAACTCCTAGGTGACAAGGGGGCACCGGCGCCCGCCAAACTCGCGACGAAGAGCACGACAAAGGAGCAGGAGAAGCTGTCGACTTCTCAGAAGCGGTCCGCTTCAGCCATGACGAAGTCGGCCGCGTCGACCATCTCCAAGGGAACAGCGACTGCCGCCTCGACCATGGGCAAAGCCGCTGGTTTGAACTCGTCCACCAACGGCTCCGAGTCGGCCCCGCCCACTCGCCGTGTAGCATCCCACACTCGCAACACGGCGAGTTCCCTGTTCAAGCCGACTGCTGCCACAGCGGCTCGTGCCGCGGCAACCGCGACTACCAAGCCGGAGCCGCCTGCCACGAAGCCCCCTTCTCGCCCCGGAACCGTCATGGGTAACTCCTCGAGTAACTCCTCGAATAGTGCCCCCAAGCCGGTTCGCCCTGCCGCTGCACCCGCAGCTGCCCGCACGCGCAGCGGTGCCACCAGCGGTCTGTTCGCGTCGACCGCAGCCTCGCGCGCTCGGAACGCCGAGGCTGCTCTGCCACCCAGCAAACGGCAGCGCGTGAAACTTAAGGCGCCAATGGAGAGCTTCCGCCCCGGTCGCAGTGCGAACAAGAGCAAGGCGAGTGTGCTTGGCACGTCTTCTGCGGCTGGCGCTGGTCGACGCCCCCTTCGAGCGGTTGCCAGGCGCGACGCCCAGGCGGAGACGTTTCCCCTCCCTGGGCCCGGACTCAGTATGAGCACCAACGCTCTCCCGGTCGAGGCGCCCGAGAAAGCCTCTGAGCGCTCTGTGCGATCGTCCCCTCCCGACGTGGATGCGACGAAACCCTCACCCGCGCACTCTCCAATGTCGAAGACTTCGACACCCGCCGCTGCCTCCGCTTCCCCCGTGTCGATCAAGTCTTCCTCGCTCGCGATCCCGACACCGTCGACGTCGACCGACGATTATATCGCGCGGACGCCCACGTCCACCTCCCCGATCGCGATGGCGGAGCGCCTCTCCCCCAACTCGACGCGCACCTCGCGCTCGCGCGATAGCGGTTCCTCGCCCGGCAGCAAGATTGCGAGCACACTGCCAAAGGCGCTCGACCCCGTCCTCACCGCAGTGCATGGTGCGGACGTTCTGCACCGCACGCCGAGCAAGCGTGGCTCTGAGTCGCCCGCCGTCCTGCACAGCAGGCGTATCAGCGGGATCCCGCCCAGTTTAAAGAAGATGTTAGACGCGCAAAAGGCGGAGCGCGACGGTACGCCTGTGCCTGAAGAGAACGACGATGATGAGAACGTCGTGGTCATCCGGTCTGATGTCTCGACGCCCACGGGCAAGAGCTCGGCCATCCTTGCGCGCTTCAGCGACCGCGGCGTGCTCCAGGACGCAAACTGAACGAAATGTATATGTATTTCTAGTCATGAAATAATCACTTATGCAAGAATAATTACGAAATCTAGTGTCTAGAGGAGGGTCGAGCTGCTCGACGGGTACTTGGTGTTGATGCGGATTTACCACTCCGGCTCGCCGATGCGCTTCAGCGCCTCGAGCATCTTGGCCCAGAAGGCGTCAACGTCGATATCGCTGGCGAAGGCCGTGGTGCAGTCCTCAGGCGCCGGCGCCCTGCGATCAACAACGGTCTGGCCAGTCGTGAGCCCGCCGGTAGTCTCGATGTCGATATGCGCCCTGGTGACCTTTATGATCTCGGGGTGAATGAGCGCCATGACAGCACACGGGTCATGGATGGGCGGCGACCCAAACCCTTGCGTGCGCAGGTACGCCTCCTTGAAGAATCCCAGGATCTTGACGAGCGCGTTGCTGAGCCGTGTGTTGAGCGCGGCAATGTCAGTAATCACCTGATCCGTCGCGAGCGCGCGATGCGTGACCTCGAGCGGGACCATGACGACCGGCACGCCGGAGCGGAACACGACGCGCGCCGCCTCGGGGTCGACAAAGATGTTGAACTCGGCGGCGGGGGTCACGTTGCCGCTCCCCACGCTCCCGCCCATGAGGTAGATTGCCTTGATAGCTTTGATGAGTTCGGGCCGGCGGCGGAGCGCCATGGCTATATTCGTCAGAGGCCCCAGGGCACAGATCGTGATCTCGCCCGGACGGGAGAGGACCAGGTCGGCAATCAGGTCGCACGCAGGTGTCTCGATCGCCTCGCGGGGAGCAGGCATGTCGCCAGGTTCGGGGCCGTCGAGACCCGTCAGGCCGTGCACGTCGGCTACGATCGGGTCGCGGACAAGCGGACACGAGGCACCCCGCGCAATGGGACAGGTCAGGCCGCCGAGCGTCGCGACGGAGGACGCGTTGCGCGTCACATTGTCCAGCGTTTGGTTGCCGGCCACGGTCGTAATGGCCAGCACGTCGAGGGAGGGCGTGCCGGCTGCGAGGAGGATGGCGAGCGCGTCGTCGTGCCCCGGGTCGCAGTCGATGATGATGGGTGTTTTGGTCGTCATTTGTCGTAAGGGTTCGTGAGGGAGTGAGGGAGTGAGGGAGTGAGGTAGTGAGGAAGGGAGGTGGAGAAGAAAGATAGTGGAAGGGAAGGTAAGACGACGAAAGGAAAGGTAAGAGTGGAGGCCAACGGCGACTTTACGAAGCTACGTCGATGTTGACACATGTCTGTGCCTAGTCGGTGTATCGGAGATTGCCGCTCTGCTATTTCTGTCCTCCTCGCCCGGTCATTATAACGATGCATAAATCCAAACCCCGTTGGCATTACAACGCTCTACTTCTGAACTACCTCGTCGAGGACCTGCTTGACGATCTCCAGGTCGGCGTCACCCGTGCGCCAGTTAGACACCGCGAGCCGGACAGCCTTCTGACCTCGCCACGCCGTGCCGCTCACGTACACCTTGCGCGTGTTGTTGATCCGGTCGGCCAGCGGCTGCTCTTGCGGCTGCTTCTCCGCGAACAGAACAATGTTGAGGGGCACAATGTGGTTACCCTCTTGCCTGTTCAGTAGCTCGTAATTGGGATGTCGGTCGAGGTATTCGGCGACTTGGCGCGCGAACGCACAGTTGCGCCGAAAGATGTCTGATGTCAGCCCTTGTCGAGAATCTACAACTGAGCTCTGCTCCTAGGGAGGAGGGGAGGGTAAAATGAACTCACCAACATATCCTTCCCGACCAAGTGACACCAGACTCGCAAGCAAAGGCAGCGCACGGAATCGTCGCGAGTTCTCAATGTTGACATAGAGCGGGCTCGGGGTCTCAGAATTCGAGGCGAGGTACGCTGGCGCATCTTCCCCGGGCCCAAGGACATCAGTCAGACTCTTCATCTTGCGCGTGAAGAACAAGCCGCAATCGTATGGCACATTCAGCCACTTGTGCCCTTGATATCAGCTTAGACGGGTCGAGACGCAGCTTACCGTCCAGCGTGATCGAGTCAGCGAGGCACATGCCCTCCGTCAGGTGTGCAACTTCGGGGACCGCGGCCGCAAAGCCACCAAAGGCTAGAGGTCAGCTCGTGAGAGATCTAATAGCAGCTGTGTGCCAACAGAAAGAAAGGAAGGACTCACCAGCATCAACATGCAACCACGCTCCGTACTCCTTGCACAGCTCCGCAACCTGAGGAACGTTGCCGGGAAACCCGCCAGTGTTCACCTCTCCCAGGCCAATGACCACAATTGAGCCCTTCCCCTCATTTTTGTCCTTCTTAAGTTGAGCCTTGAGCGCTTCAAGGTCAAAAGCAAGCTCATTGTCGGGTGATGGCGGGACAGTGACGATCTTTCTTCCAAGTCCCACGAGCGAACACGCCTTCACGATCGAGAAGTGGGGATGCAGCGCGAGTACTGATGTTGGGCTGGCAACAGCGTCACGGGCACAGGCTGATGTCAGCTACGTTCCGGATGACATAGCTATCATTCTTCCCCACATGCTCGAGGCAGTCAGGGAAGGAAGGGACTCACCCATGCCCAACACATTGCTAGCAGTCGCGCCAGTCGTGATCGTACGCCCCTCGAAGCCTTCCAGTCCCAGAAGCTCCGAAACCAGTTGGAGAGCCTTCTGTTCCGTCCGCACTGCAGCCGTAGTAGGCAACGAGACCTGGACGTTCTCGTCATGACTGCTCAGAAGCATGTCAGCGAGCTGGGCGGCCGGCGTCACACCGCCAGTGACGAAACCAAAGTATCGCGGTCCCGCTTGGCCGACGGTGCATCCGTTTAGGACTTGCTGAATAACAGAAAGCGATGCCTGTGTTCCGAGTCCAGTATCGGGGAGCGAGGAAGGCAGTGCTGCTACGGCGACAGCGACTTCGTCAGGGGAGGGGAAGGTGGGCAGACTGGAGAGACTCGCATCGCGCGCGGCGATGTGAGACGTAACGCCGGCGAGAAGGGAGGCAAAGTCCTCAGCACTCATTGTGCTGTCGATGTTGTCGACGTTGTGACGGAGCCGAGGTGACGAAGGAAGACGCTTCTCGGAAGACGCAAGCCAGGTGGCGGTGATCATCGAGTTGGGCACGGACGACCTCCACCTCCACACGCCCTCACGACCCAGCGGCCTCCACCATGATCTCCCTCAAGCACATTCCGCTCCCTCGTGGGCGGCCCTGCGTTGCCCTACAGCTGCCCTGCGCTGAATCAGCTCTGCGCTCGTGATCAGGCTGATTTGACCGATTATCACATTCCATCCAGGGCACGCAGAGAAGGTGACTCACCCAGCCCCCTACGTCGTGTGGCACTCGAACATCTGTGAGTCAGTGAGAGGAATGCGAGTCGTGCCGAGCCCAGAACGTGTGCGCGGATAGTGCAATGCATCAAGAAAGGGACAGTGCCCCGTGCCGGATGTATGTGATCTATTAACCTATTGGAATAATATTTACAACAAGATGTGATAGGTATGAGATTTCGTGACGAGGTCTTCAAGATAAGGAAGGTGTGGAAGGTGTGTAGACTTTTGGAGAGAGGCTAAGATATTCTTATGACTAAAATTTTAACCCAGGACCTTTAGACGTATCGCGTCTGGTGCTCGGGCATGGGGTCGACGGGGGCGACCTGCGTGATCGTGTGGGGGTCCTTGGGCGTCTCGTCCTCAAGAACCTGGTGCTCGCGCACGATCTCTTCGCCCTCAATGGCGTGCACAATCTTGGTGCCCTTCTCCTTGTTGTCGTGGAGGTCCTCGACAGCAATCGTGTTGAGCGCATCGGCGAGGTCGAAGTGGAAGAACGGCGTCGCACGGTCCAGGAGCGTGATGGAGCCCTGTTTGTCGTGCGAGTCGCGGGGAGTCGCATCGGCGTCGGAAGCGCTGTAAGCGTGCTTGATGTCCGAGTCGGAGAAGACGGACGAAGAGCCCGAAGCAGATGTGGGAGTGGACGAGGGACCAGCCTCGACGCCAGAGTCGAAGTGCCCGCTCTCGAGATCCGGTCGAGGGGAGAGGTGAGGGCGCTCAGTGTGCTCCGGGTCGGCGTCACCACCCACACCGTAGGGACGAACAATGGGCGCAACCTCGAGTGCGACTCCCTTCTTGTGCGCACCAGTGCCGAAACCGCCCGCGATAAGGGCGCGGCGAATCCAAGGAGACAGAATGCCGCAGAAGTGGAACTCGACGCTGCGGTCGGCCCACTTCTCGACCTCCTTGCGCGCGTCAATAAGGTTCTGCACTCCGGTCGTATCAATGTTCGCAACAGCCTGGAAGTCGAGGATAACGGCGCGACACAGGGGCTTGTGGCTGTCGTCCAACGAGGGGTCCTCCTGGCCCTTCTTCGGTCCAGGGTCGTTCCAGGGACGGTCACCCATCTTGATCGTACGGTAGTCCTTGCCGCGGCGAGTGTGCTCCTTGACGTATCCGACGAGCTTGTCGTTTATGTAGGAAGCGTTGGGGTAAAGGAAGGACTCCTCGAAGCGGTAGATGACGATACCCGCAGGAGGCTGCTCGACAGTGACATCATCGTTGGTGACACCGTTGCGGCACAGGGGAACGTAGACGTCACGAGTCTCGCCCTTGTTGTTCTCGGGAGCGATGCGGACACGGCCGAGGAAGTGACCCTTGGGGCGCGCGATGCGGAAGAGGAGAAGAACGACGGAGCACACGAGCGACCAGTAGATACCCGACTCGATAGTGTAGAAGACCGACCAGACAACGGCTCCAACGAAGATGATGTACTCGAGGGGCGAGACACGCCAGAAGCCGAGCGACTGCTTGGGCGAGGCAACCAGGTCGGCGACGGCGTGAATGATGAGCGCCGAGAGAGTGGCGTTGGGGATCCAGTAGAAAGCAGGAGCGACGGCGTAGAGCGCAATGATAACGACGACACCGGTGGGGATACCGGCGGCCGGAGTGCGGACACCAGACTTGGACTTGAGGGCGGAACGCGAGAACGAACCAGTGGAGGGGTAAGCCGAGAAGACGGAGCCGACAGTGTTGTTGACACCGATAGCGATGAGCTCCTGGTTAGGGTTGATCTTGTAGCCATTCAGGCGGCCGAAAGACTTGGCGATGGAGATGTGCTCGAGAAGGAGAATGATGGTGGCGACGGGGAGGTGCGAGCCCATGGCGGCGATGAGATCGGTCGTGATGTAGGGCGAGCCGACGTGCTGAAGACCAGAGGGGACGTGGCCAACAAGGGCAATGCGGCTCTTCTTGCCCGCCTTGATGTTCGGGTAATTGATGCGCCACGAGATGATGGTGAAGATGATGATGACAAAGGCGTGGCGGAGAGCCTGCGCGAAGAAGGCCCAACGAGAGTATCTGGGGTACCGCTTCTGAAGGTAGGTGAGGCCCCACTTGATGAAGTACAGCAGCGCGAGCGAGGTTACACCGAACGCCGCGTCAAGGGTGCAGTCAGGCAAGTGCTTGAGCGTGTTGATAATGACCTCGTAAGTGGCAGCCTTGGTGTCGAAGAGCTTGGAAGTGCCCAGAAGAGCGGGCACCTGGCCGGCCGCGATGGAGAGCGCAGAGCCAGTCATGAATCCGGAAACAGCAGGCTGCGGGATGAACTCGATGATCCAACCAATGCGGAAGAGTCCGATAGCGAGAACGATGAAACCACAGATGAACGCGAGACACACGGCAATCTGGGGGTTGGTCCACTTGTCGGGGTGCGCATGCTGGACGTGGTTAATGATACGACCCGTCTCGAGAGACATGACAGCGACGGGACCGATCGAGACATCCTTGGCCGTGGCGAAGAGGGCATACGTGAGCACACCGATGAAAGATGAGTAGAGACCGTATTCGGGAGGCAGGTTGGCGAGCTTGGCGTAGGACAGAGACTGGGGGACAAGGACCATACCAACAGTGATACCGGCGATCAGGTCACCATAGAGCCACTGCAGGTTGTACCGGGGCATCCATTGGAGGAATGGGAACAGGGACAGGATGTAGTTCTTGATGGCCTCGCGAATGTCCGTCTTGTGATCACGGAGGTAGTCGCCCACGGTGACGGACTGGGGGGCGTTCGGGTCATAGCCCGTCCAGTCATAGAGTTTGTTCTTGACAGACTGCTTGATGTTGCCCATGGTGGCGAGGGCCTGGCAGGCTTTGGACGTCGGTCAGCTGACGGAAGCTGCGAGTCTGTAGTGAGGGGCGGGGGTCGAGTGGCTAGTCACCAGTCGTAAGGACTGCTGAGGCGCTCTTGGAAATGTGTCGAGAGAGTGAGAGGCACTTCGCCAGGAGCGAGCAAGTGCTGTTGGGAATCTGGGCTAGGTGTCTGGGAGGGTGTTCGGAATCCCAAGAAATGTTGCGGTCCAGATATATACTCTTGAAAGTCTTGGGTCGAGGGGGAGGTGGTCAGGCGAGGTAGGGCAAGGGGCGGCTGGCTTGGGCCGGGCAGGCAGACGAGCGAACGGGCGGGCGGTCTCCTAGTCTAGGCAGTCTATGCGGTCTATGTGAGTCTATCGGTGAGTTGTCAAGATGAGAAGATCGGAGGAGTAAAGGATTAGACAATCAAGCCGGTCGCCCGGACGTCACGGGTAGCGCAGGACGGCTGTGAGTGGTGGTCCATGGTGCCAGAAGGCAGAAGGCGTCGCAGGCGTCGCAGTCGCGCGACAGGCAGAGCGATCAGTAAGGTGAGATTTGGGCTTGGAAACCCTTTGATGGAAGCGATGGCGACATGACGCAGAGGGGTGTGATACGTCCTGACTGATCTGTGATCTGAGATATGACATGGTGTGCGAAAATCAGTCTGGGTCCTGCGCCTTGTGTCACTGCTCGAGCGGGTATGGCGCTAGTCAGCCAATCCTCAACTCTAAACCTGCACCAGCATTAGTCCGGGGACCAGGGCGTGTCCCAAGTCACACCCTGGGCAGTACCGAGGCGCCTCGCTTGTTGCAGCGTAAGCTTGGGTCTAGAGCGTGAGGGCCGACGAGCAGCCACCCGGGGAAAGTCGAGGGATGATTGCGGGGCTGACCTGGCGATGGAGCATGGTTGGACGCTCATGTCGACACTGCACCACGAAAATCACCATCAAGCACGCCATCCTGCAGACGCAATCACGCAATTGCCTCCGTCGACCTTCCTTACAATCCACATGCACGACACGTGAGACTGACTGTTTGTGCTTTGTGGCTCTACAGACCCGTGCATGCATCTTTCCTCGTCCTATCCACGACCTTGGCAGCGCTTGTGCATGCTGTCGCCATCGTATGCTGCTTTTTCCGGCCCGCCCAGCCCCTCCCCCTCTTCCTTGGCATGGGCACCTGACTCGCCTGCTCGCCCCCCGGGCTTGCAACCCCAGACGTGCCAGACAGGGGCTTGCGATCGGTTGACCCCCGTGGATCGTGACGGATCCGTGCCTTGTTTCGTCCAGCGAACAGTTAGATCCCATCGCGAGGAACGCAGGTACAACAAAGTCTTGTGATTCGCCGTAACGATTCGCGAACAACCCAATCATCACGCCCGAACTCATCTTATCTGGGCAGTTAGGCCGGCTCTTGCACGCTCTTCCAGATCGGCAGCAAGTTTCGCGTGATGCGTCCACTGAACCAGCTCCACCATGACGCCACGAGTTACCACCACCTCTACCAGTGCCACAGAGACACTGAACCCACCCCATGCATCCGGCATCGTATCGTGGAGCAAGGTCGCCCAGCGACCCCCGTGCAACCCGTGCGGCCCGACCCGGACACCCGGCAAGCACCGCTTCATCGCTCTCGCCGCTCGCCCCATGCGGCAATATTCGCGGGTTCTGCCGTAACGAACCACCGCTCAACGCGTACGTGACTTGAGACCATCTTCTGCCGCTCTCGTGTCAGAGACGAAGCGATCAGCGTGCGCAGTTCGTCAAGACATGTCCTCGGCAGTCTCACCAGACACATCTCCGGGTTTGCATTCGCAGGGAAATGGCTCTCGTGTGGGGAAAACTAATTCTGGGAAATGGTCATGCGCCTACCTCGGTCAGACGAGAGGACGATCTGGGGCCAAGATGGCGCCCAACACCAAGCAAATGGCGCCTTCGTACCTTCGTGATCTGCGGCGGAGAGGGTCCGGGCCAATCCACCGACTTTCCGACAGAGAAGTGTGTGCCTCGCTGAGCAGCTCATGTGATCGTGCGAGACGTGCGCAAGACGTGCGCCGGAGCGCCAAAAACGCCAGGGACGCCAGGACGCCAGACGGATGCACGAGACGCCTGCCTAAGACTCTAATTGTGGAGCGGGGGAGACTTCTTGGCATGCCCCCGTGTCAAGCTCTCGAGTGATTGGCGCCAGGTCGTAACGAGCAGCATCGAGTTACGGGTGTGTTAGGTATGGATAACGGGCCGTTTCTGCTTCGGACGTGATCGGATGCTGGGGGGAGGGTGCCACCCCACCCAGCAACACAGCACCCACGTTCGTTTCTCATCCCGTTTCTCGACAGTTGCCCGGAACACTGCCTCACTAAACTCCACCGCCGCTCACTCAGTAGCATCTCGCTACAACTGCCGGAACACCCCAGCTCCGGCCGACACTTTGTGTCGTTCATTGCAACCGGGCATCCCGGTCGCTGCCCGGTCTCCGGGCACATGCTGGGCACCATGAAGCGAGCTAACGACGGCATGAAAGGCTTGGCACAGAGTGACCGAGGCAAGCAGTCGATCTCGCGACATCTCATTCGTTTCAAAGAGAGAAATTTGTGCACTATCGCGGCTATCTCGTTGGCTCGTTGCTTTCCACTGGTCCAGTCTGAATGGCGGTTGGGCGTATTTGTTGGGCACGCAACTTGCGGTCCAGTGAAGGTTAGCGTTCAATTCATGCTGTTTTCTGGCCTCGTTTTGGACTGGCTGGGAGGGGGTTAGTCACTTCCCCCTACCCACAACCGTCCTCTGCGCCTCCGCCGTCCGAGTGCCGCTCAGTTGGTCCGCTGCCGCTACAGTCAGGATTGGGTGAGCGCTGGCTGCAGACGGTAGAACCGTAATTCGCCCCCAAAATCCGAGCATCCGAGCACCCGAGCATCGAACTGACGAGAGGCGACCGCGCCGCCACTACTGCCTAGAGCAGATCTGGAATCAACCCGGTAGCGTGCGTCTCGGTGCTTTCGGCGCGGGATGGTGCACAGTCACGTATCACGTATCACTGTCTCAGAGATGGCCGTCGCACTCCTTTCCTTTACTCTCTGAAGGAGGCTTCGCTTGCATGCGAGGAACGAATTTGCATCTTGCCGCTCATGCATATCTCTGCTGAGTGGAGGGTGAGAGGGAGAGGGAGGAGCAGAGTTATGCCGCGTAACAGTCTGCGGAATAGAGTTTGGACTAAGTGGCGCCAGTCTCGAGAATGTTACGAGACATGATGCGATGCCATCCCATGCCTGCACGACGGTCGGTGGCGCGTCACCGCACTGCATAACCTTGTTCCGTGTAGTTGCTCAGCTGAAGACGATGATCGGGGCATTCCTTGCAATGTTCCTCCCGCGCCATAATCTGTGCTGCTGCGCGTGCCTATGCGCCGGCCGGCCGGAGGTAAAGGGCCCAAACCACCAAAGGACTGGCGATGACGACAACCTCCGCATGTGATCAGACAAGTATATCATACCCTGCGCTCATGTATATCACAATCGGGACCAGAGATCGCATATCTTGATCGCATATCTTAGCGCTGTCGTTTCTCAATACTGCCTGTTCTCCCCCAGTTAGTCCTAGTCGGATCTGGAATTCGGCGCCGCCTTTTATGCAACAGAATGTCCCCAACCTCAACATGAGAGGCACCATCTTTCAACCAATACTCATCTATCTGTGACTCACGCTGGGCTTGTCGCTAGTCCTATTGCTCAACTGGACGCTTGCCCACCTCATCGACGCCGAAGGAGGTGCTACACACCCAAAGTGATGTCAGTTGGCGCGCTTTTTGGGAATTAGCTGGAATCACATAGCCCCATCAAGATCTGGGCAAAAGTCACCGATAGGCTTCAGAGTTCCCATTGTCACTATGCCTGGACCTCAGTAACGTGAACGCTAACGAAGTGAAGAGTGTGGCACAGAGACGCTCGGTCGAGCATTCTTGCGGAGAGAGTTGAGGATGTGGCAGTATGAGATGCTGTCGGCTCGAAACGAGTGGAAGCGAACAAGTCATGAACAATGGCCAAGCACGCACTTCTTCGCCAGAGTCTCGCCAAGAGTGCCGAAATAGACTGAGGCAGACCGAAGACCGCGGATTGCGGAATGGTGGTGGCTGATAACAATTGCGGATCACCGTCGAGCGACCGGGCCGCGGCCTCTCTGACAGATATCCACCGGCAATGGAGCATAATCGCAGGAGGAAGCGGCACGGTGGAGGAAGTTACGCGGTTATCACTCTCAGTCATGCCGCGGAACTCCAGGCGTTGACAATGGACAGGGGATTATTGGGCGCTATCACAACTGTTTGCGGGTGGCGTTCAGAAGATTCGGAAGATGTCGATGTGACGACAGAAAGCGTCTTCTCCAACGGAGACCAGACGAGAGTGCGTGCCGCGCATTGGTGATATTCACAGTTTGCTCAAGAGAGAGGAGGCTGAGCGCAGCCATTCTTGGGTTAGTTTCGGGCTTCGGTAAGTACCCTTCGACGTTCGATGTAAGTTGCAGCAAGTCAAGGGATCCTGCGCACAGACACCAGCACGGCCGTGCGCACGGTGACCCTGCTATGTTTGGACAGAGAAGACCACACGGACAACTTGGAGAGCCCCTGTAGAACGACATTGGAGGCTGTGGCCTACGAAGCAGCCGTCTAATCCCTCTCGTTGTCAGAGCCAGCAGGGGTGTTCAATCACAGCCTCTGCCCTCGTCGATCAAGCCCTGTCCCGAATGTGGAGGACCACAGTGCAACTGTCTTCTCGCGTCCGCATCAGAACAACGCAGAAGCTCCTAGCCCGCCGCCGGCGCTTTCTGATCCGTCCAATGCGGCAGAACGCTGTCGATGCGATGCTGTTACATGCAATGAGATGTTAAAGGTTCGGGAACTCGAGCTTGAAGTGCTCCTCGATCCGGTCCTTGACCCTCTGATCCTCTTCCGGCTTGTGTTGGTAGATGCCCGTCCCCGTCTTCGCTCCAAGCTCCCCCTTATCCACCCTGTCCGTGATCGTCCTCGGAGGGGTATCCGTATTGCTGAGCACGGGGTACAGCTGCGTCGTGACCGCCTTCCAAATGTCGAGTCCACCGAGATCCGTGATCGTCATGGGTCCACCAGCGGCCCACCGCGGGCCAATGCTCGCACGAACAACGAGGTCGAGATCTTCAGGAGACACGACACCGTCCTCGACGAGAGAGAAAGCTTCACGGAGCAGAGCGGCCTGCAGACGGTTCGCAACGAACCCAGGCGCTTCCTTCATCAGTACGACGGGGAGCTTGCCCGCGTGGGCGAGCACGTCCTTCAACGTCTGCAGAACATCTTCACGCGTGCTTGAAGCGGGTACAATCTCGACGAGCGGCACCAGGCGCGGAGGGTTGAAGAAGTGGGCAATTGCGAAGCGGCCAGGATTCGAAACGGCCTCGGCGAGGGCAGAGGCCGATAGGGACGAAGTGTTCGATGCCAGGATGCCGTTCTCGTTTACAGCCGAGATACGCTTGTACACTCCATGCTTGATATCCATGTCCTCCGCGATCGCCTCCATAATCAGGTCAGCGCCTCGGACTGCGTCCTCGAGTTCGAGCGTCGTCTTGATGTTCGACGGCAGCCGCTCTAGGGCTGCCGGGACGGCGTCCCAAGATGTGACCTCGTGACCGGCGTCAGCGAGCAGGGTCGCAATTCCTGATCCCATCTGTCCCGCGCCGAGCACGACAACCTTGAGCTGTCCCGTCATTGTCGTTGTTGTCGTTGTATCGGAGTGACGAGCTCGGATGGCGCCGGATAAGGTACTTGGGGGACGGTGGTGCGGGGACTCCATAGTGGAGGTGATGTCTCCCACGGTGGGACTCACCCTGGTTCAACCTCCACCGTCATGCCACGCGATCGACGTTGTTTCGCTGTCATCCGCACCGACAACGACGCCGACGACAGCGACGACGACGATGAGTGCGATCGCGACGCCGAGCCCGATACCGAGCACGCCGCGGACGCCGCCTCCGCTGGACCCGCGGGCAATCACGGACCCGAGCGAGATTGCAGCGCAGCTGGCGGCCCTGACACGGCGGGAAGCGGAGGTGACGCTGGCGCTGAACGCGCTGATCAGCGACCGCGCCGGTGTCGACGGAGCACTGCAGCGTCTCCAATCTCTGACACCGCACATCGACTCGCTCTCCGCCCAAGTTGACGGAGTCGGCAGCTCCTCATCTTCTCGGCCATTACCGGCACTGAGGCGAGACTCGCAGCAGTCCCTCGGCCTCGGGTCGCCAGGATTAGGCCAGCACGGCTTTGGCTCTCAGCACTTCGACGAGACAGTGCTGGGACAGGAGAACGAGGGCCTCGTTTCGCGCGTTTCGAGGGTGTATGAGACCTCTGAGCGCGTGGGTGGAAAGGTCAGGCGGCTGGACGAGGAGATCGGCCGTGTGCGACAGTCCGCCGACGTCGTGACCGAGGTGCTGGAGCTGAAGAACTCACTGGCGAATTTGCGCGGATACATCGAGAAACACGATTGGGAGAATGCGGCGAGGGCATGCCGAAGGGCTATGGACGTGCGGCCCGACGTGCTGAACGGTGGCTTTGCGGCGACAGTAGTGGTGAGTTCAAGCGATCAGGCAGCGAGCACGGCGAACCATGAGCTGCGAATTCGTCGATCAAGCTAACCCACAGCCGACGACGGAGTCCCCGCTCCCGCCGCCACAACAACTCGACGAGCTGCGGCAAGTGCTCCTGACAACGTTTAGGGCTGAGTTCGAACTGGCCGCAGACAGACGGGACGAGCAGGAGATTTCGCGGTACTTCCGTCTCTGGCCGGGAATCGGGGCCGAGGATGAGGGCCTGGCAGCGTACGGCGACTTTGTTGTCGAGCTCGTCCAGTCTCGAGCCCGGAAGGACAAGGACGGTCAGCGCTCTTCGCCGCTATACTACCTTGCGCAGCTCACGAGTCTGCTTGAGGCAATCGCCCACATTGTCGACCAACACCAGCCTGTCATTGCAAAGTACTACGGTCGAGGGCGTATGGGCAAGGTTGTCGCGAGACTGGTGCGGGAGAGTGACCGCGTTGTCCAGCGTTTGGTCGAGGGATGGGAGGAGGAGCGAAGAGTCGGCCGTCTCATCGCTGACACGGAGAGTTCGACCTTCCCGCTGTTGAGCAACCCCGCGCTGCTGCCGCCACTTTTCCCCAGTCTCGTCTCCACGGCTGGTCAACTGTCCCTGGCCAACCTGGCGAATACGACGAGCAACATCTCGAATGCCCTGCAGAGCTACGCGCCCCGTGTGAAAGGCGGGGTGACGCCGGCGGCGACGCCGATTCCGGAAGAGGACACTGGCCCCGACGCGCGCGATGTCGACCGAATCCTTGGCGAGCTCGTAGCCCTGGGAGGACGATGGGCGCTCTTCCGCCGCTTCATCTTTGCGCGGTTGCGCGAGGATGCCGAGCCTGACGCTGCGACGTCTGACCCGTCTAAACGCGCCGAGGGCGCCGACGGCGCCGAGGACAGCGGAGAGGGCGAGGTCAGTGCCAAGACCGCCGACGTTGACGAGAGCATCCTCACGTCCTCGCTGAGCCAGCGGGCGATGGAGAACCTGCTCCGGACATACTATCTCCCCTTGGAGGAGTGGTACCTCCGCACCGCGGTCGAGAAGGCGCACAAGCTCGACCAGGCGGATGCAGGCAGCAAGCCGTACCTCTCCTCGATTCTGGACGACACGTTCTACCTGGTCAAGATCGTTCTTTCGCGCGCGCTCTCGTCCGGATCGCTCGATACGCTGGCGCGGATGCGGCAGCGCGTCGCCCAAGTGCTCGAGAGGGACTACATCGACGTCCTCTCGCGCAAGATGGAGGCGGTGTATGCCGCCGGCCAGGGCGTGAGCTACGACCGGGCCGAGAAAGAGCGGAGGGAAAAGGACCAGCGCACAGCCGTCATCATATACCTGAACGACCTGGATTTGAGCGGCACGTACGTCGAGAGGCTGCTCTCTGAGTGGCGCGCCCAGCCCCCCGCGGTCTGGGACGAGAGCGAGCTGCCCCGTGTCACGGAAGAATTGGAGCTGTTCGGCGACCTCGCGCTCAAGTTCCGCCTGAAGTGCAAGGCTGGGCTTGATGCGCTGTTCGCCAACGTGCTCCGCCCGCGCGTGCGACAGCTCCTGGATGAGGTGTACAAAGACGTACGCTACGTGCTGGACGAGGACAGCTTTGCGGACGCCGAGGAGCGCGACGTGGTCCGCCGCCGCTTCGTGCGCCTCTTCACAACCCTGACAGAAGAATACAAGGCCTACCTGTCCGATTCCAACTTCCAATCCCTCTTCGCGCTGCTCCTTGAAAGTCTGGTTAGGCCGTGGGAGAAACTCGCCATGGGCCTGCAGTACACCGACTTTGGAGCTGTCCGGTTCGAGAGAGATATCAAGAACATTGTCAACTTCCTCAACAACCAGACGAGCTTTGGCCTGAATGTCGTCCGCGAGAAGATGGTGCGGCTGAACCAGATCGCACTCGTGCTCAACTTTGACGAAGACGAGCTTGCCGACATTGACAACGTGGGCGTGCCGTGGCGACTGTCCAGTAATGAGATTCAGCAGGTGCTCGAGCTCCGCGTTTGAGCGGGCGGGGCGCGGTCTCACTAGAACATGTAGATGTAGATGCAAATATGCGTAGAACTAGTAGTGCGTAGTGGTAGTACATGCGTTTCGTCGTCAGGTCATGAAAAGGTAGTACAAGCGGGCTGTCTAGGATTTATGGGTTATGGCGACTGACTCGAGACATTAGCTCCTGTCCGTGCCGGCCTCTGTGCCCGTCTCGGTGCCGTTGTCGGTGCCAGCATCGGTGCCGACCTCCGTCACGCTCTCCGTCTGCTCCGTGACGATCGTCTCGGCGGTAGAGCCAGCCACGCTCTCCGTCTTCTCCCCGTCGAGATCGAGCCAGGGCAAAACCGCGCGTCCAGACTTCTTCGCCATGATGGCCTCCTCACCCGCGCGCCGCATGACAGTGACCATGTCAATGAGGCGGTCCCATCGGCTCTCGAGCTCGGGATCGGTGAGGTTGCCGAGATCGTCGTCGTCGTCCGAATCCTGGTGCGTGAGACCGAGGCCGCTGCCGCCCTCCGGATCACGGAGGGGCGGGAGTTCCTGCTCCCTCAACCTTCGGCGAAGCTTCACGATCTCGGCGCGCTGTAAGGCCTTCGTCTTCTCGAGTGTCTTGTTGATGGAGAGCAGGGACGAGTTGGAGATCTCTAAGTCGGCAATCTTGCGGTTCACCTTTGCTTTCTCGATGTCGTCCTCTGACCCGCCTGGCGAGGCGCTCGAGGTCACAGGCGGAGAAGTCAAGGGACTGCCGGGGTGCAGCGCGCTGGTGATCTCCGGGGGAGACTGGAGCGGCGGTCCGCTCAGCAGGCTGACGGGGTCGCCAGCGTGCGCCGCCTCATGACTGTGCAGCAGCGACATCTGATGCAGGTTCTCCTCGAGCCTGAAGCTGGGATGGAGTTCGCGGTGACTCTCGTTCGGGCTCATCGTGGGTGTGAGGGTCGGCAGTGCGACCGTCTTCATGTTCGGACTACCGGGCGTCGGGACATGGTTCGGCGGTGCGGGCATCCAGGTCTTGCTTGGCCGGCGGCCAACCTTCTCCGGCGAGATGGGAAGGTTGCGCGGGATCGGGCTCGTCGGGCACGATGCTGGCGGGAAGGCACTGGCGAACACGGGGCGGAAGTGTGGAGACGTCTGGTCCAATGGCCTCGTGGGTCGTACGGGCGAGGAACGGTTAGAAGAAGGCTCGGCATACTCCTCCTCTGTCGGTTCCAGGGGCGGGGGATTCGGCAGGACCTCCGGTACCATCGTGCTCGGGCTGAGGAGGGAGGACTGTCGGTGGTGCCGCGGCGGCGGGGAGCGGGTTGGCGACGTCGTCTCGTTAACCTCGTCTGGCGTGACCTCAGCAAGACCGCTGTGTCGGCTCTCCAGCGGCGGCGCAACGGGCACGGTTGGGACGCTCCGTCGGCTCTCTAGTGGCGGAACCTTCGGCGCGGGTGCGCTGTGTCGGCTTTCGAGGGGCGGTTTCTTCTCCGTTCCGCCAACAGATACGACGCTCGCGTTGCGAACGTGAATCGGTCGATCGCCCGTCATCGCCGCGCTGACAGAGCCGACAGAGGGCCTTCGCATGCGTGCATGGGGGTCATCGGACGCACGCCGCGGCGGCGCGCCAGCTCCGAGGCTCGCTATAGCGGATCCAAAGGCGCTTCCGAGCTGCGACGGCGCTGCAGGGCCAGGCGGGGACCGTGCGCGCGATGGCTGGGCCGAATTACGCCTCGTGCTTGGTCCAGAGGGCGTGCCGGACCCCGGTGTACCAGCCGGACTCGGGGATGACGGAGATCCAGTGGAGCGCATGGAGGCTGCGCGCTGTAGTCGCGCCGAAGCTGAGGACGCAAGGTTGGCAGACGGGGAGACTTTTGCCACTCGCACTGTCGGTTTGTCTGGCGAAATATTGCCCGAGCTGACGACGCTGCCAACTGCTGATCGCGAGGACGAGACGTGGAGGGGCGACTGCGAGCGGGCTGGCGTATTTGACTCAGATCGCATGGACAGCGTCGACGGCGTCTTGCGCCGCAGTGTTGGCTGCGCTACGTCTGCGAGCGAGACGATCGAGGACGTGTTGACACGCGCTTTCAGTGGCGCTCCAGTCGCCGCTGACGCCATGCTGGAACTGCTCAGCTGGCGCGTTACCTATGCATCTGTCAGCGACTGTCGTGCGTGCGCGATGCTCACCTTTGGGCGTGATGTTGACCCGGTCGGAGTGCGGCTGTGTGCGTGAGTGCCGGAGCCGGCGGCGTGTGCCGAGGCACCGGCGGCACCACCCAGGCCCGCGCTACTGCTCGCGCGCTGGTGCAGAGGGGGACGGTCCGTACGGTCCATTCTGTCCGATCTGTCCATGGGCCGGGGTCTGGGGATCAGGGAGGGGGGCTGCTCATGAATGGGCTGGAGGGGTTCGAGGTAGAGGTGGTCTGGGAGGTGGTGGTGTTGGCTGGAGGGCGGGGGGGAGGTGTTGAAGGTGTCGAGGATTTGGCGAAAAGCGAGAGAGTTGGATGATGTTGATGTTGCCGTCATCGCTGGATGCCTGGCTCTAGTTGGCTCATACGCGATCACCGCAGCAGCTGATACGAGCGTCACCGCAGCGGAGCGTACTAGCGCAGCAGGCTCTGGAGCTCTGGAGCGAGACAAACGTAGGTACGATTGAATGGGTGAGCCAGCGGGAGCAAATATGCCCCTTCTATTTATTCTTAATACGACCCCAGCGAGCTTCGGGACAGGCCGCGCTAATCGTCCCTGTTTGTTTGTTGTTAATCGTTTGTAATCGGACATCCTAAACGCCATCACGTGGCCACACTGACATGTATCTCGCGAAGCATCCCGCTCACCTGGGCTTGTCACCCACACGCGCGCCTTTGCCATCAACAACAACCCCTTCCTTCCCGCCGGCATCCACCTCCACCACCACTTCTCCGCCGACTCGAGCGACTCGATCACTTCGCCGACGACCTAAGAGCGCACCGAACACGCCGTACTCGCTGTCTCGCCGCCCCGCCTACGACCAGACGGGATGAACCAGTTCCCCGCGAACGCGATCCCGGGCTTCCAGCCTCCCCCCGGCATGGTCCCCGGCATGATGCATCCATCCATGATGCAGCAGCTGCCGCCGGGCATGGCCCCACCTCCGGGGATGATGCCCCCAGGAGCTCCGGGCGGCCCCGGCGGCCCAGGTGGTCCGGGTGCGCCGCCCGAGATGCTGCAACAGCAGTACCTGCACCAGCAACAGCTCGCCATGGCGCAGGCCATGCGCCAACAACAGCTTCAACAGCAGCAGCACGCCGTCTCCGTCGCGGCCGCGAACGCGCAGGCCCAGGCCGCACAGGCGCCCCAGGCCCGCCCCAAGCCGCGTAAGGGGCGTCCGCCGGTGCTGCCCCGCGGACAGCAGGGGGACTACGTCAAGGGCGCTATGGCGCCGCCCACTGTGCCGGCGGTGAGGCAGACGGAGGCCGGGAATGCGGCGACGGGACTCGAGACGGAGCCGTGGGCTGATATGCTCGATGAGCTGGATCCGAGGGAACTCGCCATGGCGCGGTTTAGGGCGAGGCAGGAGGTCATGACGGAGATCTTTGGACCGGAGAGAGTTCGTGAGTGTCCCACAGAAGCCTAGCGACGACCAAGGAAGGCAGATAATAGTATGGGCGATGTCAGGCGGACTGAGGTTGCCAACCCGTCGGCCGCGTTGGGCTGCCTGTGGGCGCGTAGAAGGGCGGGGAGAACGAAGGAGGGAAGGGGAAAAGGAGCCAGCTAGACGTGCAAGATCTTAGCTGACAATGACAGAGGACGTCCCGGAACCAGTCACCGACCCCTGGTCCGGAATCGGAATCACGGGCGAAACGCTCGAGGCCAAGGTCGAGGCGCTGGAGAAGAGCAATGCGGAGCTCGAGGCCAACTTTGACGCCGAGCTAGAGGCGTGGAGGAAAATGCTCGAGAACCCCGAGCTTATCGAACCCGAGTCTGTGTAGATTGCTTTGTAACACGTAGGTCAATGTAGATATGGTATATTCTGGACACGGCGAGGTTGCAGGACGGGCGGAGAGGTGACGGTTCTGAAAGCAAAGTATCCACGGATTTGCGCTCGGAAACTATGCTACATGGAAAACAACATGGGAATACAGCAGGACTAACGGCAGTGACTTCGTAGCTCAGGCCCGCTCCGGGGACGAGATGGGGGAAGGCGAGTGCGTGCGCGGCGACGGAGGCTCAGGCTCGGTGCTGGCCGCGCCATCCCACTGCGCGGCGCGAGTGATCTTGGGATGAAACTTGAGCGCATCGTTGCCAAACGTGCAGGTAGGACGGTGGTCGATAGGGATGATAACCAGCGCAAGTAGAGCGAGAACAATCGTGAGTGCCTCGCTGCGCTCGCCCGCGTCGTACCGGATTACGTCGGACACGAACAGCGTATCGGGGCGCGCGAGATACATGACCACGGCGGTGCGACCGTTGCAGAGCATGTGCCAGCGGCAGCGGCGGCGGTGCATCTCACTCCAGGCCTGCGAGTTAGCGAAACACAGACGACTAACTCACAAGTGCACACGCCTTGGCGGCGTTCTCCGTGACACGGTCGTCCGTGCAGTCCAGATGGTTTCGCTCCACACGCGAGGCATAGAAGCCGGGATGCAGCGGATGGCCTGCGGACGCATAGCCCTTGCCCGCGAGCACGAGTGCGTGCATGTCCGCCTCGGTCATGTCGAGCTTCCAGTGGCACACGGCGCGGGGCTTGCCCCGAAACTGGCCGATCCACTCGGTTGGAGCGCCCTCAAAGTCGCCCCACTGCCACCCGGTCCACAGGACGTTGCGCGACAGGTCCTTAAAGTTGTCGCTGTTCTCGCAAAAGCTGTTCACGGCTAGACCGATGTGTAAGTACACCGCTCTGGAGAGGGTTTCCTGCATGTCGAATTCACCCCACTTAGCGGCCTCGTTGTCGATCTGCCGCACGGCGGAGTGTGCATCCATCATGATCTCGCGCATATCGTTTAGCTCCCGGTCGTACTTGCTGATTAGCGACTCGGCGATTTTGGAAGAGCCGAGGGAGGGTCGGTCGGCGATGCGCGACGCCTGTTCATAGAGCAGCGGCGTCAGGCCGGCATGGTACTGGACGCGGAGGTTGGGGTTGTAGTGCGCGAAGGCGAGCGCAGCGTAGTCAATGTCGATACCGCCGAGCGGGCGCGGCTCGTAGGGAATAGCCGATACAGGGAAGACTTGCCGGGTGAAGAGCTCTCGCTTGTTCTGGGGGATGTGCTGCTGTCGTCTGTTATGAGTGTCAGAGAAGAGTCCGAGGATGCCGAAAGCTGAGCGACGAGTGGGTGATGGGGCCGCCATGGGAGATCCAGGTCTCTTGCGAACACGCTTCACGGTGCTGTTGAAGACGGGCTGGGGAAGGCGAGAGCGCGTTGAGCGGATCGGAACCATGGTTGCGGTCATGAGGAAGTGTCTACAGGTATATAAGCAGGTGAGCAAACAATGACAAGGTAGACGTGAGTGCGAACGAGGAAGACACAGAATGAACATGAGTGAGTGTGCGCTGCAAGCTGCGTGTTAAGCGTGTTGGACGCACACGACCTGGCCCAGTGTGGCCCATTGACTGTACTGTTCTGGTGATGGTGAGACACCAACGAGGCGCAGCTAGCGTCCGCCTTGTGTGTCACTCTCTGTCGATTGTTGACAGCAACTAAATCTAAGGTCAGCGCATTGTCATTCACGAGTGGCGAGGGGGGCCGTATCAGATAAGTAATGTATTATCATGAGACCGAGTGAGTGCATGAGAAGGAAAGAAGCAAGGACGATGAAAAGCGCGCATCGGCGAGTGAGTGAACGGACAGTGGCCGAGGGGCAGTCCGAACCGGCGGTAGCGAAGGGTACGTCATCGGTGATATCGGAATTTAAGTGCAGCGTTAATCGCGCAGAGCATTAGGTATTAGTAAACGGGTCAAGATGCGGGCGTTACTATATTCCGCTACAGACTTTTCCCTAATACTGCAACGCCGAGTAATTCCAGGCACGGTCAGGCACAGCCTGACGTGTACATGAGGTG